TTGCAAACATCTCCAATGAGCTTTGGCATTTGCCGGTAATACAGCATGGTGGAAGTCCCCGACCGCCGACCGTGAATACAACTTTGCGGGCGCGGCATTCAGTCTCTGCTAGCTAGCATGTGTCGTGCTCATCCGGCTCGTTTTTCTAATGCGAACATATCCGCATCGCATCTTGGAATGGTATCAACAAGCGCTGACTCACTCGTGTTGCCGATGAGTGATAGGTCGGACGTTTCCCCAGGATGGTCGCCTTTCACAAGGGGTGACGATTCCTGTCGTAGCAACGTACACATATCTTGGTAGTTGTTCGGTACCTTCTCAACTCGATCGGGCAGTGTCCTCGAGTTTGAACTTGTGATTCTCGTCCAGAATCAACTTACGGCAATTTAGTTGGCCGATCTCCTTTGTCTAAATGTCGGGCTCTGCTCGTGATGGGAAGAATCCCATATAGAGTCTGTGAACCTTTCATGTCATTGAAAGAGGATTGCATTACTAGTTTTTCCTGCATTTTGCAGCATTAAGTAGCAAAACTGGTACTGTTGGTGTGACACTGCTCATTTGGATAAAGAGAAGGATGCGCCCTCCTCGCGCACTGTACGGACGGACTCAAGTCTTCCGGACTACGTTGACATGAGCGATGCGCCGATGTTCTACGTTCTTCCCGTCGAAAGCCGAGTCGGACTTCTGGATGAGAGATAAGGGAAGCTACTATGAGTACATCGCCGTGAACGTGGATGATGATGTTCTCATCGTCAGCAAAGAAGCTTCCGGGATTATCGTGACATTGGAAGGGGAGCCCAAGTTCAAGCACAAAGGATTTTTTGGTGCTCTCAGCTTCCACCTTGAGACTTCTTCCGTGATGAGAACGGCGTACAGAGCTATTTGAAGGGTGGTAGACGAGTAATCTCTATGTAATTCATGCGAAGGAGGTTGTTGACATAGGAACGGGTCGTCAAGTCAGTAGGCTTGCGCATCTTGCGACGCATGAAGCGCTTCTGTTTTTCAAGAGCCTTGAAAGGGCAGGCTGCTTCAATGACGACATTCATGCCAGTCGTAATGTCTGTGGTGTCCATTGCAGGTTCAACCACGCCATTCCACGCGGCACCGACAAGTGTGATGGAATTTTAGTTTTTAGATGAATCGCGCAAGCGATCTAAACTGAACGGGAAGACAGGACTTACTCAGAAGTGAATAGACTCTAGCATATAAAAGTAGTAGTTGTGACAAGGAAATAAAGTACCTAAAGGAGTTAGTGATAGGATTACATTCAAGAGGATTGGTGTGTTTCCAAAACCTATGCACCTCGCAAGTACATTGAAAAGGTACTCAACAACAATCAAAGGATCTTCAGATGCATGCCCAAGCAAGCTTCACGTGGACGCGAACCTCTATCATATATCTAATCAGTGAACGATCAATTACCGGAGTTCTACACTTAGCCAACAAGACAGACACCTATTGACTGGTTTAGCACTCCAGTCGATGGTTGAGACGGCCACCTTTGATTCCGAGTATGTTGCAGCTCGTACCGCTACCGAGCAGATCATATCGACCTTCGCAACACGTTGTTCCGGTACTTGCAAATCATTATAACTGTGTGCGAACTTAATGCACTAAAGTAGCTTGCAAATAAATAGTGTGAACCGTTGACCCTGCGGACATTCTCAGTAAATATTGGGACTACACATCGGTGTGGCCACTACTGAATGTCGTACTATTTTGGTCAGGAAATACCAAGGATTTCGGCAAGAAGCACTCAGGGTCGACAGTCGCCACTGAGGAGGGCGAAAGCGTTACAGTTCCACCCACGACTCAGAGACCAAACTGCTTGCGAGGCATGGATGTCACCGAGATTGGGGCAGGAGCTCCAACGTGGGTGGCAATTCCAGGTGCCACACTACTAAAGGCTGCGGATTAGCAACTCCACAATCCGTGAGAAGTGTGTGAAGTTTCTGCACTGTGGTCGCCGAGTATCGCTTGTGGGTGGCAACTCCCTTGCACCCAGAGAAGTGCAGCTGCCTTTGAGGGCCCAGGCCATGCAGACATCCTGCCCACCATGCTTGGGAACAGTGTACTGGTGGTCCTTGGTCATCTCGGTGATGGAGCGGAAACCGGCGTTCTGGAAACGCTTCATGAGATTTTCATCTCCGTGGACGTTGGTGACAGGGTGCGCCCCCGCTCGCTGTTGCTTTCCTCTGGCAGGCTTCTTGCTTGGCGGTTCAGGAGCGGGCTTGAAGAACGAGTACCAGTGTGCAGGGAGCTCGGTGAGAGAGAGGAGGACCGAGAAGACTATACGAGTCTAGTGAGTCCATCGAAGTTGGGGGGAGCAGCGCCCGGATTTAAGATGGCTCTGTTGACCCACAAGAAGTAATCTTATTGGACCTCAAACAGGATGCGACCGCACAAGTCCACAGCCACACTTCGGTTGTCAGCGTTGTAGGCTATGGATGGAGTGGAGGTACCGTAGGATCCCAGGGAGAGGGCCACATCGCGCACGGCGCGGGAGACAGGATGTTTTCCTCCGTGGAAGACGTTTATCATGATGGAGAAGCCATAGAGTTTTTTCGGCACAGCGAACGTCGGTGGGAAACTTGACATCGGTGGAAGTGATGGCGATGGCATCTTCCAAGGTGATGGAGGCTCCCTTCTCCACATATTCTGCTCGAGTGGTCAGGTCCTGGACGGTCTTCGCTTCAGCGTGGCCTTGGCATACAATGGAAAAAGGGGAGAGACCCTCGCTGAGGGTGGTCCCTTGCCCATTCACGAAGTGCTTCTGGAAGACTCGGTCCAGAATGTGTTCCAGTGACGAGAGGTTTGTTGGCGAGGTTGATGGGCAGAGCCGAGGCTTGAGTGCGTTCATCGAGTTGTGCTTGCAGGATCCCGTGTTCATTCCCCTTTGGAGACTTTATGAGCAGAGGGTGAATAACCGGAAGGTGCTCGTCATCGGCGACGTTGCAGAGGTTGTGGACATGAGTGGCCAGGGTGGCTCCAAACTTGTCCGTGAAGGTCTTATTGGAGTTGTTGTTCGACAGTAGCCTCGAGCGTGTGACGTAGGTCCGTGATCCCTGCATTGAAGGTCGCGTTCGTGAGACCGGAACCTACCACGCCAAGCGCGGCGAGGTAGGGGGGGCACCTGATTTGGGCTTCGCCGGGGAGAATGTACTATCCTTCGCGGCGGGCAGCAAGGAAGGTTTCAGACAAATAGGCCGGAAGAGGCATCACGCGACGAACACGGAAAACGTCCGTGTCTGGTACCCCTCTGCCGCCGGCATGGGGATCACTGTGGAGCACAGGGTTAGGGCGTGCGAGAATATAGTTCCGCCGTCAATGATTGTCATGTGACAAGTGACGTGACCAGTGCGTTCGAAGGCCAATATGGGAAGGACCACAGTGATCGCACTTCGAAGGTCGTTCCCTACCACGATAGCGTAGAGGTTGTCATAAGGCGAGGCTTGGCTCAGATTCACGAAATAAGCATAGAGAGAGTGGCCGATGTAGAGATTTTCCCCATCACCATTGAGGACGAAAGCAAAGGTGACAGGAGAACGGACACAGAGTTGGCTCATGGTGAGGGAGGCAATATATCACGATTTGCCGCGGAACCTCCTCCAACAGCTGTGAGGATGTCGGCATAATTTGGATTGTGCACTTCCCATGCCGATGCACGAGAGACGAGATCCGAGAAATTGGTGCTGGCCATGGTGAGAGTCAAAAGGATACGAAACCTGATGCCGTCGCAAGAGATTAATCTAATTTAGGTTCTTGCTTTCAGCGTCAGCTGAATGAAGAATTGTGAGCTGAGAGAGAGACAACATTCTTCTTGTGATAGGCAGTTCAATGGCTGGTCTTGGCTAGGTCGCTGGCTTTAGTGATTCATGATTGCCGCTTACGGTGCCCCCATGTTGACGTCGAACTGTGGAGAGGCACCATGCAGCGTGCCATCAGCACCAGGCTGCGCAAGGACAACACCGACCCATTTCTGCTAGAGATTGTGATTGACGGTGTTGGAGGAAACATACCTGACACCTCTTTACTATTGACTCGTGTATTAATCATCTAGTCCGGTTCGCATGTAAATTCATCATGCAAGGAACCAAGGGAGTTTTAGGTCTAAAGTGCTACGGGGGTCCTTATATCCAATTCAATCACAAGAATTGCTATGCACCACCAGAAAATCCTCACTTTTGCTTTTCAGCTTAATCCAAAACCAAATTACTCCCCAATAAGCTGCAGTATTACTAGCTAACACTGAAAAGCAAAAGGCCATCTCGAGCTACTACCGATCTCGAGATCGATATCAAGGTAAACATCAAGTCAAAGTGTATTGAGTCAAAGTGTATTGAGTTAACACCTGCAACAGAGAAGAGGTGCTAAGAATCAGCCTCTAGCCACACTATCAGAGCATCGAAAAGCCTCTAACAGGAAAAAGGTGCGCGGGAAGAAAATCCCATCTTCAGTCACAGGTACCACTACGTGAGATCAACTGTCAGTTTCGGCCGGAACTACAGCGATCCAAGCATACCAGGTGATCAAGGAGAACAAGCTACACGGATTGTCCGCTTGAAGCAAGGAAATCCGGCTCTTATCCAGCGAGTTGAAGTCGATTACGTCATCGCGCGAGATTTCGTGATTTTCATACGTCTCATCACATCGAGCAGAAGTCACGACAGGGATCAAGATAGATCCTGACACAGACGTCGCAAGCAAGAGGTCCAACATCAATCGATAGAGGACATCTAGCCGCATCTCTGAGTATCATGCAAGCTTCTAACTCCAAGAATTGAGTGAGATAGTTGATTCGAGTGATACAGTGCTACTGTGAAGAGAAACACAAAAATCACAAACCCAAGAGGGCATGAAGAAGAAGGATGACACTCTTGATGCCATCAAGAAATCCGGATTGGGTTTGATGAAGGCTGTCAAGGTCGCCAAAAAGAAGAAGGGCGGCAAGGACGAGCTGTAAATTTTTCCTTTTTGGGACATTTACAAATTGATTATAGACTGGGAATTGTGGTTCATATGGGAGGATGGTAGTTTGGTTTGGGTTTTGTGTAAGACATGACAACATGTTCAAGTATGCATGAATGACGTCGTATGCTGGGTCGAAGACCTTTGCAAATGACTGAGAATAGCAATCTTTGGAAACCTTTATGGCTGGTTCGCTTCATTTTCCACGCCTCTTGGGATCCTAATATATTGCGCCGCAACTTGTGTCATGTTTCATGTCGAGCCGCTCGAATTGGCTTCTCGGATTTCTGTTACGGGCTTCAGTTCCCTTAAATTTTATCAGTTTCCACAGTTATTTTATTAAGCTTGAAATCCATTCTGCTTAGATTTCTAGGTGCCGGTTCGTTGTAGATTGAGTTGAAGGACCTCCCATGGGGAGTGCCAGCGATCCTGGTCCGTCTTTCGTGCACGGCAAAAGCAAGAATATAGAAATCAAAACGATGCGTCGCAGTTTGTACAAGCGTTGAAGGGCTTTGCCGTGGGATCCCAATGAGGAGAGCCAGCGACCGCGGTCAGCACCGTAGAAGGTCCCCCGGTCAAAACTCCAGCAAAGCCTCAAGCACACGCAATTACAGTGCTGAAACAATACGCGAGCTATTTGTCTTCTTGCCTTTGTTCTGGACTGCCGCACTAGTCTAATCTTGGCGTTGCTACCACGCCAATAATACCAACACGAACCAGGACCTCGCCCGTTCCGCGTTCCGGGCTTAAAATAATTAGTCCCCGTCCTTGCGTCATCCCAAGTCAAGGTGGCAACATGAACGCGACCATCAAATTGGCGTAGCAGATGGATACTATGGTAACGTACAGGTAGATGTGCGAGATTTGATCGTAACGCGCTTAAGCATTACATCGTATGCCCGTTCACTCCAACCCCGATTGTACATTACGATACGGAAGACAAGGTACCCGGCGACCAACAGATACACAAAACCAAAACGTCCAACAAAATTATGACCCACACCCCGGTCGAGCAGGCTCATTCATTAGCTAAACATCGCAGCGGCATTTTGCGTTCTTCCTGTTTGTTTTGTGTTTAGCCTCGGCCGGTCCCACACATTCATTCATACCGTTCGTCGTTCGTTCGACTTTATCGTTTTACATGTGGCACCGAAATGTGTTTGGCAGTCGATACCTGAAGCGGGGACTCTTCTTCAATGGAAATACTGGTATCCGTCTTGCGACGCACCGACATCATGCAAGGCCCGGGAGGTTGCGGCGGCGGAGGCTTTGGCGCCATGACAAACACATCCTCACTACTATCCACAAACGGTTTTTTGATGCCGGAAATGTGATAAAATAATTCCCCAGTCTGTTGAATTGCTTGCCCTACTTCCACTGCTTCTTGTCGTGAATCGACCATTCCAGATTCCAGCATTTTATCAATAGCGAGCGCTCCCGTGAATGTATTATTGTTGTTGTCGTCGCTGTGTTTTCCCAGAAGGGGTTGCATAGCTTCTAGAAAACTGCTTGCCTGATCCCTAAATTCGGCGGATAGCAATTCCTCTTTGATGGATTCTGCAACTAATTTGGACGATTTTTTGCGGCATGGGAACTGTGGCACACTGTCCTTGCTGTTGGACCGGCCAAAGGGTGCTTCTGATGATTCTTGTCTGTTGTTGTGGTTGTTTGCTCTTATTGGTGTGGTTGCTGTTGGGTTCCAGAGTGGGAGCCGAGGGGCATTCACTGGAGAGCGTTTTGATGGATGTTTTCCGTCCTGGTTGTCGAGGAGACAAATCCGAGGACCTGGACGACCCAGGTGGTGGTGCCTGTTCTTGTTGCTCCTGTTGTTGTTCGTGTTGGGTTCCCAATTTTGCGACATGATGGCTGAGTTTGGATAGATCACTGGTGGACATGAGAGACGAAGACTGTCCCGCCGTGACACTGGTTTGTCGTTGTGGCAACATGGGTTGACTGTCTACCTGCTCTTCGTCATGGACAAAATTCAATTGGCGAATGTCCAAGGATCCCTCGGAGATTTCAAACTCTTCGGAAAGTTGCCATCAAACTCCGTCAACGTAATACTGCTGGCCACACTGGCCACACTGCCATAGATGCGTCTTCCCCGTCCCATAATATTGCTCCAAATGGAACTACTCTGACTACTGCGATTCGATTTCCGAGATGTGTCCAGTGCTCCTCCCGGTGGGGTCGTTGATCCAGCGGCTGCTGCTGCTGCTGTTGCCCCCTTGGAGTTGTTGGAACCGCCACTGTGGTGTCGATTCGGAATCCCTCCCCGTCGGATGCTGTGTCGAGAATCACGAAGAGATTTCAACGCCGAATCGCTGATCTGATAGTTCCCATCCTAAGACACCACTGTGGGCTTATTGTCTACCACCGCTCGGGCTGTTGATGTTTCCGGCATGGCTTTTGTCTGTCTACGGTATGGCACTGGTATTGGTATGGGTATTGGTATTGGTATTGGTATTGGTATTGGTACTGCACTTGAATGAGAGAATGGCAGGCAACTGAAGCTCTGGACTCTGGCCCCTCGTAGTACTAGTAGGTTCTGTCCTGCTTCCTTGATCCTTGATAAGAGCGATTGACGCTTTTGGAGGTGCTCTCTGTTCTCTGAGCAGGATTGATTGCGAAGAGTGCAGCTCAATGGTACACCCAAGCAACCGCGGCAAACGTAGTACTTGTAGCAGGTAACAGACAGCTCAATGCAAAGAAGACAAACAAGCTGATCATGAAGTTTAAAAGTTGGATTGAATGTTCTGTTGGCCGAAAAGACATAGCAGTCGTAGAGTCAGTACATCTTACGCTACACTCCTTGGGAAAACCGGCGTCCGAGAGACGGCATTGATAATTCTTCACGCTGTCACAGAACAACATCCGACCCATCTGCAATCACGGTTCAACGTGCAACACAAGCAACAGTAACAGGTGCCGGTGTACAAGCTGTTGAGCTCCTTGGGAGCCAGTGCTGGGTACGGTATCTGCATGCTTCTTTGATGTACACTGTAGTGTGGTCAAAGCCACGAACGTATAGGGGGCTGACAACCTTGTAGCGGTAGAAGCAGCCAACATCACAGTAAGACTGGAACTAGCCAGCCAGCTAGCTAGTTAGCTAGCCCACAATGACACCGCACTGCACGAATACTAAACATCATTTGCTCCCTTTCGTTCCAGCCAAGCGCCAAGTAATGTAGTCTCTGGCTAGAAACTGGAACATAGTGCCCCCCATTGTTAGCGTTCATTATGTTCCAATGGAATGAATACCCACCAATGCTCTGGTGGTATATGCACGTAGCTACACGAATTGGATTTATGGTTGCCATATTGGCTGTCAACATCACCTGCATGCTGCATGATCAGAACTTTGAAAGAAAACATGGCTAACTGCTACACTAGCTATCTGTATTCTTCTATTCTACTCATTCCAATCAAAGTCGCAGCAGTGCCTGGCAGGAGACAGTGCAGGAATTTGCTACATGTGGCGTACCCAACTACAGTAACTTTGCTCGTAATGGTCCTGCGCTCCAACCAGAGCCTTGCGAACTGTCGTATAATTGCACAGCCTTTGCCAGATCAGCAACAAAGCCAAACCTCCGTCCTTGCAAACATGAATGGTACGCTCTTCATCTTTTATCACACACTCCATTCATGCCATCATTCCACAATCTGTAGAAGTACAAGGTGATATTGGTAGACAACACAAAAACTCAAGCAAACATTCCATTCAAGTATTTTCAAGCCAGTCATGATGAAAAATGTATTGGGGTGGCAGCTACAGTATTCCATGTCACAAGCTCTTTGATTTTCCGACAAAACTGAAAAAGTCGTTGCTGTTGTTGCCAACCTAACTAACTAAAGTTTCCGCTGGACCTCTGTTTTCGTCTCAATACGGTAATGGTGATTTCCCTTGGCAGTTGTCGAATAATGCTGGCAAAGCCCTCGGGATCCACATTTTGACAAACGATTTCGTTGACTGATACAATGTTGTCCGCCTCTTTGAGTGCCGTTGTCTTGAATATGGATTTGCTCTTGAAGCTCTTGATGCAGAGATATCCCCACACCCAAACTGTCATGCCAAGATCTTCCAGTGTCATGTCTGGCGATGGTTTGATAACTGTAGCGTGTACGAGGATATCGTCGGATCCTTCTTCTCGATTCTTGGTTGCGACACAGAGGTATCCATCCTTTTCCAAACTCTCCTTCATTTTGGAAAGCGCACGTTCTGGTGTGAAGGAAGGTCCAATTTGACGACCATTAATGGACTTTAGGTAGTCGCCTTCGCGAATCCGAGACAGAGCAAAGATGGAATTTTCGTCAATAGAAGTAATGGGGATGCGACTATTGTTGCGAAGAAATCCTTTCTTGGTAGTCTTGGGAGGACCCAATGTGATTCCGAATCCCCAGTTGATGGAATCGATGGTTGCGTCTTCTTGGAGACGAAACGTGAACGATTTCATAAACGCCTCTTTGGCATTCATCATGACGCTACCAACTTCCGACGCCAAGTCGGCCGTGGTCGCCACGGACGCTGGTCCTCCATTTCGGCTGGACCGTGTATTACCTTGGATCAGAGAGAGATCAAAGAGAGGGCGACTGGAATTACCAGAATCAGGAAAAGCATCCTCTGATTCTTCTTCATGGTTCCTGTTGTTGATGTTAGTGCTTAGGTCAGCAGGCAAGCTCTCTTGGACCAGGGCCGCCATGGTGGGAAAAAGATTCGATTCGATTCCAAAAAATGAATGTTCCGGTGATACCTTGAAAATGCAGCCGGTGGACTGTCACTCGATTGATTCGATTCGATTCGACTTTACTCAACTTGAACCTCTCCACAGCAGCAACAACACGGCGGGGATAAACGATCGCAATATCTCTGCTCACAGTGCCTCCGAACTTGAATGGGACCTTTGTCAGCTCGGCTGTTGAAGAGATGAGCCGTCGGTGGGTGTCGTTGATTGTGACGTCAATCTCAATCATATCAAAAGCAACAAAGCAACCAATGATTTCGTGACTCGATGGCTCCCAGATGAAGTCACGCGTGGGGGCTTTTGGTCAAGCCATGTCTTTCTCACTTTTATTTTCTCGTTTCAACCAAAAAACAAAGTGGGCGCAGCAAAACAAGGTTGAGAGATGCTCTCTGAAAGGGCTGGTGCTAGCCCTGTTGACATGCACAATTGTCTCCATCAAGCACAACCTGGTACGAAACTGTTAGAATGTTGGAAGCCGAGCTGTGGTTTTGCGTGTCGTCTGGAAAACCAAAACAATGCTTCCAACAAACCTTTTCACATGCACGTACGACCATTTCATGGTCAATGGCAAATATCACTCGTGATGGGCTTGAAAGCTAATCAAGATTATACTAGCTATTATTCCAAGAAGGCTCAGTTTATCTTTTGAATGTCTGCATACGTTATATGTTGTTCTCAGGACGAGCACAACCACTTTAGTTATTAGAGCCATTGACTGCACCAGATATGCTCATCGCAGTGGCTACGACACCAGAAATATCATTCGGGCGGTCAGGCACGATGACCATTTTGCTGTGCTTTGCAATCTCAGGAACTGCCTCAATGTAGAGCTCTGCCAAGCGTTGCGTTACTGCATCCTTCCCGCCGGGTACTTGCACGGCTTCGGCAATGGAACGAATCCCATCCGCTGCGGCTGAAAGGCGAAACGAGAGCAAAGATATCATGAGTTAGATGGCGGTATGATGATATAGTCAAATTTCCAAACAGCGCCCACTCTTGAGCATACCTTTGGCTGCCTGTTTTGTTTTTTCTGCTTCAGCCTCTGCCAGCATTTTTATTGTTTCTGCTTCAGCTTGGGCTCGCAATTTCGTTGCTGCGGCTTGGCCTTTGGCGCGATTGATCTCGGATTCTCGGTCTCCCTCGGATTGATTAATAAGCCGCTGGCGGTATCCTTCACTTTCCAAGACTTCCGCTCGACGCACTCGTTCCGCGTTCGATTGGCGTTCCATGGCCGCTTTGATGGAGGCGCCCACATTGATGTTGGCAATTTCGTACCGAAATATACGAATACCCCAGGGGGCACCGGCTTCATCAAGCGCCTTTGCAATGCCCATGTTTAGTTTTTCCCTTTCTTCAAATAGCTCATCCAGTTCAAGATTCCCAACTTCCTTTCTCATGGCACTTTGAGCCAAAATGGAAATCATGTATTCGGGATTCTCAATCCCGTAACTAGCCTTGTAAGGGTCTTCCACGCGAGTGTAGACGGCCCCATCCAAGGTGACGTGTACATTGTCTCGGGTGATGGCTTGTTGCGGATGAATATCAATGGTCGTCTCCTTCAGCGACCGTTTGTAGGCAATCTTTTCCACAACGGGAATGGCAAAGTTCAATCCTGGCTTTGCAACGCGTTGGAACTTCCCAAAACGTTCAATCATCCACTCTTCCGCTTGAGGTACCATCAAGACGACAGAATTAAAATTGGATCCGTCAGTTCCCACAGTGATGTGTCGACGAAAGACGCTCGGCGCAACAGCCGCGAACGCTCGAGGCGCAGTTCTCAGGGCTTGATAAGCAAAACGGGCAACTGTTACGCGGGATGTTGTGGATAGCATTGTTCTTTTGGAGTCAAGTTCAGTAGTTTTTTTTGAGTTGGTTTGTTGAGTTTGGTTTTTCTAACGGTGTTTTTGTGACAGAGCCGAGAGCGAGGAGTGGCTCGATCCGCCCGCCATTCTTGCTTGAGTCCTGCGTTTCACTCCCACCACGAAAGCTCAGAGCAACCGTCAAACGCTGGTAGGCGGCAAACAGTCAAACACTGGAAGGCGGCAAACAGTCATGACTATAGCTGAGCTGTTCCTCTGGGTGAAGTAATAGCCAGGATGGTCGCGCCATTGTGGATCCATGGACGCTAGAGACCATGGATCGCATGATCGCCATGATCGCATAGTCAGTGAAATCTGGGGCAAACACAATCCAGTTTGTTATCCTCAGAACTCAACACACGTGCTACACTATAGACAACCTGATTTCTCTGATCAAACGAAGAGAACGCTACGCCAAGGGTATTTACACCCCTCATCATGGAGGACCATATCCCTTGCCAATGGAATGCCGGCAGGCAACTTGTCCTGTCTTGTGGATCAATGGAGCAGGAGCCATTGGATTCTTTTGACGAGATTGGCATGGACATGCACTATCACCTTTTTGGCATGGAAGTTTCAGCGTGAGGGACAGACCCATCCCTGCAAAGCCTGCTGCTGCCTAGCTAGCTAAGCTAAGAATATCATATCGATTGTTCATTCAGACCTCCTGGCCCGCCGTGGCTACAACTAGCACCATCTGAAAAAGTCCAAGATGGATGAATTGAATTCCGAGCAATGCGGCCATGCTACCGGTAGCTGATGTCAAGCCATCGCGGAAGAAAAGATCATTGGCGTGCGGGGGCTGTCTTGTTAATGGAATGGATTGGTTTCAATTTACGGAAAGAGGGATGAGAGTGTTGTCAAGTCGGGTAACAAACACCGCCAGATCACCCAATTTGTGATGAATGAATGATTGATTGGATTCCTGATTCTTTTAAGGACACTATCGTATTAGTTCGCAGTAAAAACGTTCTGTATCGAAACCATGAACATTACATTGAATCTAGCTGTGATAGTGAAGCCACGAAGCCACGGTAGTGTAGCTAGTGAACGATAGCGGCTAGGTAGGGATCGGTATCAATGCTGTGTTCCACTGCATAAAAAAGAAAACCAACTGTTAGATATGACGTGACATCATACGGTAGACCATGCTGCTGACCACATTTATTTTGAACTTCACTGCACTTACCCTCATGAAGAAAGCTATCGTGAACATGAGCTTCCTTGACAATGTGGAATTCATTGACCGTTTTGTGCCATTCTCGCTGTGCCGCTTCGAAATTCTTCATGCCTCTTGGTTTAGTAGTTTCCACCTTATCTTGAGCCTCCAACTTCCACCTTGTCGCCGATGTCGTGAGAGTCGTCCTGTAGGCTTGGATGGCTTGCTGGTTTTTTTGTTCGTACTTGGCTTGAGCTTCCAACTTCCACTTGACGGCAGATTCTTCTAGAGTCTTCACGTAGGCTCGAGCGGATTGCTGGTCTTGTTCAATCTTGGCTTGAGCTTCCAACTTCCATTTGATGGTTGAATCAGCGAGAATCTCCGCATAAGTTTGAATGTCTTTTGCTTGTTGTTCCGCTCGCTCCTTGTCCCACTTCTTGGCTGACCTTATCAAAGCCTTCACATAGCGAGCACGTTCTTCTTCCTGACGCTTCGACTTCTCAGCCCTCCATTTCTCAGCTGAAGAATGCAGGGTTGTCACGTAATCCTCTACTGAGGAAGATCCAAGAGCCGTCAAAGAAGATTGACGCCCGGGCAACACAAACGAATGGCTGCAAGGAAGCAGCAGCAACAGCAAGCTAACGATCTTCATTGTACTACGGTAGTATTAATAGCTGCAAAAGAAGGAGTTGACTCAAGAACGAATTGTAGACTGAAGTTCAAAGGTCAACCTGCACTTTCTGTGTTGTGGTTACTTGGCTTCGCGTTCTCGTGAAATCTGTTCAAGGACATCGGCATCCAGCAGCTGTTGGTGATGGGTGTGTTCTTTCTTTGTTGAAGAAAACGCTAATGGTACGTCACAAAAAGTATCTTTTGAATCACGATCTTTCGTAATCGATTCACGATCTTCCTGAATCACAGCTGAATTAGTACCAGTACTAGATCATCAAAAACGTGAGACCAGCACAGTTATGGTACCGAGTTGGAATCTTTAGCACAGTCAAGAAGCGATTGTCCAGGGAAGAGGGAAGGCCTCAACGAGACTCGACTCTGTCTTTTGATCTGTGAAGATGACAGCGACTACTGTACCAGGTAGTGATTCGAAGTAACTGGCTGAACTATGATAGTAATGAAATTGGAAGCTTTGCTTTTTGTACTTCTGCGTCTATGTTTATGCAAGGTCGGCCGACTTGTTGGCGCGGACGATGCTTCTATACATGTAGTTGATCTTGTTCCTCGTAAAATTGTTCCTCGTAAGAGTGCTCTAGAATTGTATTACACTGAATGTCTAGCACGCTGAAGAAGCAATGCTGTTCATTCTCAGAGGGAAGGTAGGGGATTTGTCTTGGCTCGGCAGACCCACAGACGTATTGGTTACATCGCCTTCCAGTGCAAATCCACTTCCGCTTGAATGAGATGCTGATGAGTTGCGCAGCTTAGTCAAAGCCATTCGCATTGTTCTTCGTACTCTCATGGTGCCATTTGGTGGAATCGTACAACACCGTCTTCTTTCTGGCATTCTGGGGCTTGTATCCAGAGACATAGGCGCTGAGGGTAGCAATGCTGTGGGTCCCCGCGATGGGCGTCTTGGAGCGGCATCGTGAGCACTCGTGTCAGGAGCTGGGGAGCTTGCAAATCTACTTTGTGATTCGTTTTCTTGCCATTCCACAAGTGACTCTGGGAGTGATATTTCACTCACGAGACTACTCATAGAATCAGTTCTCGACAATCCAATGTGACAGACAATGATGCCCCTTGAAGAAGCTTCTCCAAGGTAATCACTTTGTTGGCTGGGGTCTGTTCCAGCAGTGTCGTCATTGCTTGAGCTGTCTACCGCCGAATCACTGATAAAGTACCTCAACTCGGGCTGAGCAAGAGATAGATCTTGTGCTTTGAATAGGTTTGATTGAGTGCTTGACATTCTTGTTGTTTGTTGTTTGTTGATTTTGTGACCTAAAAGGGAAGGCAAACTTTTGTGGGCTCGGACACTGACTGGCTTTTTGACTGTGAGTTTTGTTGTTGGATCAAAACATCAAAACCGATTTGTAGAAGGTTGCCAATGCAATATGCAATCTGCGATGTCAGAGGAGGATCCAAAGGAGATGGAACAAGGGAACAAGGCCGTTCGTCCAGCAGCTGATTCGGCTGTCTAGCTGCCTGAGGCCACCAGCACTTTTTTGGTTGGATAGTCTATATCTGTTGTGTTTTAATTGGCAGTTTTGGCTACCGATACTTTGCAAACCGAGAGGCGTACCAGTACGGGGTTGGGAGTAGCTACGGAAACGGTACGGTACGGAGTCCGGTAATCTAAGTCGCTACGTCGCTACAACGCTACAACTTGTAAGTCTCAAGAAGAGAAGCTCCAGGAAGCCCGGAACCGTACATCTAACATCCAGTGGCAAGTCTCTGAATAATAAAGGGAAGAAGAGAAGACCCAATAAATCACTTAGATTACATGATTCTTCATTGTCTTAACAAAATAGTCTTACTGAATCATTCGAAATAGGTTTTTCCGATGCTTTACCCCGACTCGGAATCAAGTCTCGTGTTGAAACTTTGTTGTGAGTGCAGCCGGGAGAGTGGAAGTGTCCAAATTCGGGATCACGGAGAATTTAAGTTGTAAGCTATTACCTTCACATTTAGATAACTCTAAGTTTGCTTCAGTAATGGGGGAATGGAATGGAATCGAATCCAATCCAATCCAATCTTAGCAGTATTATTAGTAACGTCTAGCTATTAATAGTATCACAAATCTTCCTACTGAACTTATATCTTAGCTCAGGATTCATCACCAGTGTAATTTAGTGTTTTATCACTCTGGATAGCTAGGACGAGGGTGATATGGGACAAGAAAAAGATCAAAGAAGTGAATGGCTTTGACGACCCCTATCATACTCTGCTTCCCGCCTTACTGAGCCATATCCTTTAGAAGGTGGAGAGAGCATCTTCTCTAACGATTTCTTAATATCAAGGGAATGGAGGCTTTTAGCGCAACAAGTACGAGCACTCCCAGTTCCAATCTGATTGTCTGTAAAACTTTTGTAGCTAAATTTGTGGACATTTTAGAGAGCTGCCAGAGGTGCTACCGGTAGACAAGTCCAGATGTGGCAAGCTAGCTAGCTAGAGTGAGTCTTTGCTTTGCTTGGCTTCTCTAGTCTATTCCTTTGGTGCTGGTTAGTTCTATCAAAGGCAGCAAAAATGAGATTGCTGGTGCTGGTTAGTTCGAAGGTTGGTGCAAATCGAATTCATTCGATACTGTTCGTGTGCGCGGTATCCTGGCTGGACAGATAGCAAATGTTTTTCTGACCGACTGCAACGCTAACTTACATGTACTTGATGGCCAAAGGAAGAAAGGGCGAAAGCAGTCGGACTCGACTCGGATTCTCTGGGTGTTCAGTTGGGAAAGAACAAGACCGAATGCATAAGTTATGCATACATACAATATTATAGGTAGTTTGAAGCTGAAACTCCCACCTGTACAACCAAAGAGCAAGTTTGAATCAGGAACCAGCGGGGGCGCGGTGGGAGAAAGCAAAGGGGAAGTGATAGCCGGTGTGAATTCAAAGACTCGGACATTCGGGAGGTTCCCACCACAGCAGGAAGCCAACCAAGACAGATTGGGTTGCCAAACAACCACATCCACTCCACTCGGAAGATTTGAATATTTTCCTCTCCCACACAGTCCGCGGCTTTGGTGTTTCAGCGTCTTCTTGGGCATTCCCGTACCGGTTTTTCCAAAGAATCCAAGAAACAACTATTTTGCAGAGCCGAGTCGAGTCGAGTCTACACGCTCCAATGAACTGGTGGGGTGGGGAGCTCTTTGGGTATCTACGGTATACATTCAGAGCTATCTATGGCTGAAATGACAAAACCTGCATCCGTCCTTCTTGCTTTTGAAAGGCCCCACACGTCCAATGTCTACGTTGCCTCGAGACAAGACTGTCGGTGGCCGAGTCCCTGTGGTTGCGCGACGTTGATGACGACCCCATCAAAGCACTGGCCAATGGTGGTGTGAGCGTGATGTATGTTGCCACGTAGTTCAGGGTTCAGCCATCGGAACATTCCTGGTTTACGCACAAAGGTGCTCACATGCCTGCAGAGTGTTGAGATTGGCAAATTGATTGTTTCAACCTTCTTTCCTATTCTTCTTCTTGGGCTTCTTGAGTGGTTGGGCTTCCTGGTCATCTTCTTCTTCATCAAAATAGTCTTGTTGCTCATCATAGTATTCATTGTCTTCCTCTTCTCCGTCATAATAATCGTCATCACCGTCTTCTTCATCGAACACATCTGTTTCTTCTTCATCGACGTAAAAGTCGCCACTCTCATCTGCAGCCTCGTTTGGATCGTAGTCATCTTCAGCATCGCCCCATCCATCCTCATCGTCGTACTCGTCCTCTTCGGAATCAGACATGACCAAAGACGACCCATCTTGGTCAAACAAATCAAACTCGGCACCAGAAGATGAATACTCACTTGCATGATCCATTCCCAAGGGTTCTGCGTCTTCTGGATAGTCCCCAGGGTGCCGTGGAAATCGAAAGTTTTTGTCGTAATACCACCGTCCATCATGCTCGTAGTACTCATCTGCTTCATCCAACACGATTTCTCGATGCCGAATCCAGGCAGCATCCGCCCAGTAGCAGCAGCATGTACAGCCAAGCAAACTCGCCCAGATTATCATTAGGACGAAAATCACTTGATCCAATTTGCTGTCATCCCATCGTTGTTGTTCTAGCGTGAGTGTTTCTTCTGTGTAGTTTCGGTCGGTGGGGGCTCGTACCGGGGCAATCGTCGGAGCCACATCATTGTTGTCTGCGTCGTCGTCGCCACCTGAAAGAACTTCTTTCCATGGATCGCCATCCGCGGCGGCATCTTCTTGGTCCTTGACATCACTCAAGAGACCCAGCCACTCGTCGACAAATTCACCTTTTGTCGGTGCTTGTGTGGGTCCGACGGGCACAACAACAGGTGCGGGTGTTGCCACCGGTGCGGGGGTGGCTGGTAACGGTGAAGCCGTTGTGTTGGAGTGATCAAAGACATTGGTTTCACCCGGTGATGTCGACGATGTCGTGGTGGCAGCGGAGGGCGCACCGGTAACGGGGCTGACCGATGTTGGGGCGGTGTAATCTCCAATAGGCTGACAAAAGTCCATTCCACCCGTTTGCAGATCCAGATTGGAACCGGGTACGCTAAAGGATAGAATATCGTTTAGGTACCCATCTTCCACGAGATTGTCGATTGATGCCCTCATTTGAGTACAGACCGTATCCGGACTCTCATCAGCCGTGGCCACAATTTGAAATCGTCCATGAGCCTTGTGGCAGTGAGAATATTCCCCGTCCCCACCTCCAGTCGACACACTAATGGGACAATCTTGGCTGGCAATCAAATGTGGTTGCACGGCTACCGTGTTGGGTATCAATGTGACTTCTAAACGTCGACGTCGATTGTTGTCTGTAGTTTCCTCCACCATCCACATTGTTAAACCATCGTGGTGATTCCTGTCTGCACTGCTAGTAGTGCCACTGCCTCCCCTTAGATGTTTTCCAAGCATCAGCAACCTTCGGTTACTGGGCCATTCTCGCAGGAGGGTCCCCGCAAAAACCTCTAGCACGGTTTGCAACTCAGCCGTATTGACTGAATGATCGGTGATAGAACCGGAGGTAGATGACACTATGAAGTAGATGCCAATAATCAGATGATGAGCTCCCTCTGGAATGATTATCGCGGAGGGTGCCGGTGTGGAAACGTTTGTTGGGGTCGCAGTAGGTGGTGTGTTGGAGGTAGCAGCAGTTGCATCAGGATTTGTGCCGTTATTATAGGTAGCAGTCGTAGAATTGGCATCGTCGGAAGCGGTATTGGATGACCCTGGAGTTAGAGAGGGTGATGCCGTCGCGTTGCTGATGGGGCCAACCGATGGAGCAAGAGTAGCATCCAGACCAATTTGCGCTGTTGGTTCCTGGGTCTCGTCGCTTTGTCTGGTCGTCTGATCACTTTCTGACTCTTCAGGTTCAGGCCTCGACACAGAGATGATATTCTGCAGCTGTCTGTGATGGTGTCGTGTGTACCGGTATGCTTGCTCCCCTCCCTTGGTACCAGCGTGGCTGTGTATCCGGATTAAAGCCTCTGGATACCCCTGTCTTGCTACTAGCGGCTGTGTATCGGTATACCTTTGGTGGGATATCGGAGCGGCTGATGAGGCTCGAAAGATTGCCGACAGGATCAGCAGCTGCATCCATGGCGAAGCGACACGACGGGGTCGTCTGCTGTACATGATTGATGCAACAGTACCAAGCCTAGCTAGCAAGTCCTGAAGAGATGCAACAAATGTCCCGAAATATTCTGTAGAGGCAAGTACGAGAGGTGGAGAGATAGCTTGCCGATTCCCTCGCACCGTTCCCTACTGGTTATTCGGGGCGAGTTCTGATGTAAACCTGTGTTGGGTACCGTGCCCCGACTGCTGCCATCCCTTTCTTCTGGCACTGTCGTTGAAGCTTTTGTCAGTCCAGTCAAAGCTTGAGCCAAGTCTTCTACTAAACACCAGAGACCTCGAGATCCGTGATGCTCGTCTTGGCTTGTGGCAGCCTACAGTCATGGCCCCCCCCGGAACGAGGCCGAAATTCCCCAGATCCGAGTGGCAGTGGCTTGCTCGATAATTATGCTAATTAGCTTATTTCGCGGAAATTTGGGCCTGCAGGCGACATTTTGTTAAGTCTACAGGGTGTTCTGTCGCACGAATTAACCCCCTCTCGGATTTCAAGTAGCAAGGCTGTATTTATACTCAAGTGTGCAGCAGTGCTTGATCTGGTTACCCCAAATGAACATAGAGTAGACTAGCTGGCCATCTCAGGGTTGCTGATGACGGGAGCAACCCTCTTCAAGAGCTCTCACCTACTAGCTATTTATGGTATCTACTTTCATGGAGTCGAAGCAGGCTATCCTTTTCATTTGTCGACTGAATGGGCCATTCAAGATCAGACGATGACATGTTCTGGCGGCCTATTCCGGAGTTGCGAAATAGTCGGGCCAATTTGAACGCCAAGAACCAACCAACAAAACCGACAGGGTACACAGTAACAGTAAATTAGCTCGTCAATAATAACACTAACTCGCTCTGCGCAGAGTTGAGATTGCCCTCGTTAAAGCCACCATTTTATGACATTGTGGATCCCGCAAAGCCAAGCCCTTTGGCCACTGTGTTGGTCCTCAATTTATCTCCCCTGATCCCACAGAACCTAGTCCCGAATGCTGCCTCTTCTTTGCCTAAGCCTGGCCCTTGCTGGCTTCCATAGGTAACTTCCCTACTCTAAAAAACCTCAAGAAAGTTGAAATATCCGTGGACCAACCTGTGTCTGGCAGGTTGCTGGAGTGAGTGTAATACTGGGTCGTGCGCGACTCATGTACGATTGCAACTCGGTGCGGAACACCGTTCCAAAAGGGGGACAACAAGCTCGCACCCATCACAAACCAAAAGATCTCTCCCGATCTATTCTTTGAAGATACCCTCTTGGTGATCGCCCATTATCTACCCATATCCCCCCCTTTATCTTTCTATCTCTTGTCTTTCGCTGTGTGAAGCTCTGATTTGTCATGTCTGCTGCTGCTACCATAGCGGAAGATGATGTTCTGGATTCTGTAGAATGTACCTATACTGCTACCGATGGCATCCATGTGTCAGAGTTTCTGGAAGCGGCGCTGTCATCATCAGGCGTGGATTTTCCAATGACTCCTCAAACTCTGTTGGCGTTGAGCGATGAACATCTGATTAAATATTGTCTGCTGATCATGTCTCTGTTGGGAAAACTTGGATCCAGCACAGCTGCCACCAGTCAACCAGATGGGGCAGCCAATTTTGAAGCTCTCTTGGATGCCTTTTGTCTCCGTATTTCCTCCAGCCGAGTACTGAAGCTTCGAGCTGGATTGCTTGCTCATGTGACGGACTTGGGAATGGCCGAGAGTTGGAAACCGGCCGTCACCTTTGATCCAGACTGCTACCAACATGCTCAGCAGCAGCTGCAACATCCACAGCAACAATTATTATTACCCAGGGCATCCGGTCTTCAGTCCGTACAATCCACAGACACGGTGGGTTCCAGTAGTTCCACTGTCGCACGAGGATTGTTGGATGATCCAGAACAACTGCAACGCTACGTGTCACGAAACTTCTTTCATCCTCGAAATGGAATCCATCTCAAAACAAAACGGCGCAATCTTCTTCAAGCATATCCAAACTCATTCTCCGAAAAACTGGCTGTACTGTTTCTAGTGCAGGATCTACATTGCGACCGGAAAACGGCGTCCGTCGTTGGACAGGCCATGCTCGATAGAGGCCTCATCAAGCGAGTATACGGGGGGAAACCCAGTATCACAAGCACCATCACCGGTAGTCTTCGTGCTTCCCAGAGCAATGGGGACAGCAAATTTGGACAAGGAGACTCCATTTTTGTCCGGGCCATGAACAAACAGTCATCTGTCAAGGCGTTGGCATCCCAAAACAAAGTCGATCTCACATTGGGACTAGATATCATTGATCTACAAAGCATCAGGTTCTGGAGGACTGGAATCTGGGAAAAGGCACCCTTCAAGGAAGGATCCCATTTCGATTCCGTCACTGTCGTTCATCCCATGGCCACATCATTGCCAGAAGAAGATCAACAACAACAAGATAATCAAAGGCAAATCAGTCACGATCATGGAGGTTGTCTCGTTCAAAGCATCAAAGTTACCAAAGTCTTCCAATCCATGGCGAAGCCAGCCTTCTTATCACTCGCAGCGTTCCAACCGGGTGAGCTCATCGACCCACCATCGCTCGTAGAGATTGGACCCAAAGTCATTGCCAAAGGAGGCGATAATCTGCTCAATGATGCCAGTGTCGAATTACTCTTTCGGATATTCACACATGTGTGGTGCATGGATGCCGAACGCTTTGCGGATGATGGCAGCGCGAAACCACCCTTTGCATTTGACTACGACGTTATACCCTGTGGTCATCGAGTTGGCTTGTTGGGCGTATTGCCGGGGTTGGAACCGCTCAACGATTTCGATTGGAAAGCATGGGCCACAAAGTACAACAACAATGCTGAAGTCTTGGACAACATGTGCCGATCGGCGGCAGGATGCAGCATTGCCACCTTTGTCCTGGGATGCGGAGATCGACATTGGGACAATATCCAAATTCAAAACGATACCACCATGCTTCATATTGATTTTGGAATGATCTTGGGCGAGAACCCGGCCTTTAAAACACCACGGTTCTCCATCAGCGCCGGGCAAGAAGCCGCCTTCAAGGAGGTTGGAATTTGGGAACGCTTTGTCAAACTCTGCGGGTTGGCGTTCCTGTCGCTCCGAGCACGGGCCCCTGAACTCATGCAGGTCACGGCGCTGCTACTCCAGCACGCCGGTAGGCCTCAGTCGAAGATTTTGAAGTACTTGGCGTCCATAGAATCCTTCAACATTTCCGAGGAAGACCAAGCCAAGGCAGAATCCATCGTGTGCAAGCAAGTCCGACAGAGCTCGACGCATTGGGAAACCATCGCTCGAAAGTTCACCCATGATCGAATAGATCCGCTCTTCTTCCGAGCAGTAGAACGAGCACCGGCAGGTCTGGTGGCGGCTGTGGAGAAAATGTACGACAAAAACTGAAGACGAAGAAACAGGAGGAAAGATTAGCTGCATAGACTGAAGTAACATCAATCAAAGTTTTCCAGTGAAAGTAGAGACGGTAGCTGTTTAGTACTCGAAGAAGGGACAGGGGAAATGAGCTGCAAGAAAACTGCCTGTGTTTCACCGCTTTCCACGGTTTTGTGCCATTGTACTCTCGGGCTCCAGTGGCCACCGCCAGAAGGAGAGGCAGCAACCCCTGAACAGAGACGATGTCCCCAGTAACCTGGCTAGAGCTGGGTGTTTGACGAACAGGCAGACATACTGTTAGTCCGGAGGACCTTCTAAGATTGTTGACAGTGGTGTAAGGACCTTGCGAGGTATGTGAGGTAGTTGAACCCGAGGCAGAGCATCTTTTTTGACTTGGCCTAAACCATCAGCAATGATGAATGAAGAAAGCCTTGCTTTTTGAAGGATAAGCACCCCAAGAAGGCTCCCTTCGACCATCACTTAGACTCACTGAATTCCGGTACTGGGAAGGAGAGAATCTGACAACCCATCCACTCTGGGGCCTCAAAAGACTACCCCAAGTACTATACCCTGCAGGGAAATCTTCTGGATGCAGCACCAATAACCAACTCAAAACGTGACCACATAGCTTGCCAGCCAGTTTCTATAGCTTGCCAGTTTCTATTGCTTATCGCCTTCAGTGGCACTATCTCCTCCGTCTCCTGGTTCCAGGCCCGCCTTTACCAGTTCTGCTTTTAGTTGCTTTTCTTTTTGCTTCATCATTTGCGATGCGAGTTTTAACCGTTCAAACAAGTCCACACTGTCCAAGGCTTGAATCCTGTAGGTTGCCAACATGTCTGGTACAATGTCTGTACAAAATCCAGCCCAGCTGATGGCTGTCAGCTCTTGGGGTGTCTTACCATAGGAGCTATCAGCAGATGCCAAGAAGTATCCTTGCGTGTCTGTCGCAAGGGCAGTGCGATATGCTGTTAGAAAGCGTTGTTGCCTGCTCATGTCTGTTACTTGGTCGTCTTCATCGTCATCATCATCGTCGTCTTCATCAATTTCTTCATAAAAGCGATCCTCCTACCAAGTACAAGCACAAGCACAAGCACAAGCAACAATGAGATAAGAGGATGAATGAATGAGCATGATCCGTTCCTAGCTTGCAATGATATGACGTTTGATCCAACACAACACGTGGCCAAGCTGCTCAAGTTTGACTCACAAGCACAGCCCGGTCCAGGCCACTCTCACTCTTGTCCCCTTTATCTTGTACTTGTTTCAATCGTTGCTCCATTTTGGAGAGATTATCTATGGAGTCTTCAATATTTTTGGCCAGTAGATTGGGTAGTTCTAGGTTGGGTGGCACCTTATCAGAAATCTCCATGCACACTGCTTGAATGTAGGGTTCCTGCTGTGTCACTTCCATTAGCTCGGCCCGCCCCACAACTCGGATGGTCACAAAAATGCCAAAGTTATCCATGCGATTGTAGGCTTCAATTTCACAGAGTGGCACCTTTTGCACGATGCCAGCTTGTGCCATGAGTCCCATGGCCACCACTCCACAATGATTGTCCATGGTATCTTGAAATAGCTTGATGAACCGATCTTCGTAGAGTCTCAACTGTTTGGTCTCCCCTTGCAGCAGAATTTGATCAAATGGAAAGGGTAGAATGTTGACCTGTCGAGGAGGAGCCCCCTGTTCAGTCCCTAACCGTCGATCGTTCCCTGTGCCAGGATAATCAAACATGAGGTCCCTCCACTCGCTGATGCTGCCTGTAACGGAGAGTCGAGATGGCGAATCTACCAAAGATCTGGATGGTGGGGCCAAAAAGGAAGATACCGCTTGAATTCCAAGACAGAACGCGAGTATCTGTAGGTTCTTCATTATCATCGCCACCATTGTAATCTCTGCTTGTATTTTCTGACGAACCGACCTTGTTTACTAGCCAGAGCCAGCTACCGTAGCTAGACGAAGTGCACGGGGTTCTGTTGATGTCGGCCATGGCCAGGTTCCGAAGCAAACGAATGACAGAATTCGGAGGTGCCGTGGAAAGAAGATTGGATGAATGACGAACGCCTTTCGGAAGCACAGCTCACCGCACCGCATCAATGATCAACCATAGGGTTAAGGGGATTAGATCCTGATCCCACGCGCCGCTTTGACTTGTCAACAGATACATGCATGTAGAGCTATGTGCGTAGTTGCTCCTCTAATAACTAGCTACAGCTAGCAAGCAAGTTGATATTGAGCTCGTCAGCTATTGGTGACGGTGGAATCGTAATGGCGCTAGCTAGTTGCGCGGTAATTTATGCTTCAGTTTCAGTTGCCTTGATCGACATTTATCATAGTTAGTTTTGCCCCACCCCCTGCACAATCAATTGAAAATCATTTCATTGTCTCACTAATTTTCCATGAGTTGGCATTGTTGTTGCTGCTGATGATCACCAATACTGTCTATGTCATCACCAGGGCTGTGGATTGTTGTGGCTTGGCTACTTTCGGATGATGAGGATGTATGCCACTCACGTAGACCACCTCTACTGGGACACTGCGAGAGACAGGGTGTGCTCCTAGCCAACTGTTCCGTGGCATCATCCGGCATTTTTCCAAAGGCAAATTGACATTCAAAAGTGTCATAATCCGGTGTCATGGTGAGCGGTAGTCCCATTTCGTGTATGAAAAAGTTTTGTGTGGGTATTTTGCAACTATTGACACAAATCGATGCGCATTGGGATTCCTCCAGGAATCGACATCGCTTGACCAAGAGTCCTTGATCTTTGCCAATCATCGTGTTGCCCTCACTGTCGTGTCCCAACTCGACGTCATTGATTTCACATTCGCCCATTAGCCTGGATACAATGGGATGGAATGGAAGATATGAAACGAGAAGAAATAATGAGCGAAAGTGCTTCAAGCTGCAATGCTTTCCAACTAGCTAGTCTGTAATCATGACGATGAGGCTACCGTACCATGTCCCAGCCATTTTTGTGGCCCAAGCATTCATGCGTGACGAAAACCCGGGAAATGGTTTGGAGAAAAGTTCGGCATACGAGGGTGGCATCCATGAGGGAAACAATTCGCCTAGGATAGGGAAGAAGCAAGGAAGGAAGGCTGAGAAGAGCGATAAAAAGGAGCAGCCACAACCAAACATCCTTACTAGCTAGTAGATAGTACTTACTGAGTGTCTTTTGTGCCCGCTGATGTATCTCGGTGCGATCGGAAAAGCGTGCATTCATGGCTTTGGCCAGATCCATGAGTGCTCCGTAGTCGGTTTTGTCCTTGTCACTATCCACTCCTACTTGCTCGGCAAGTTTTGTTCGAAACATGGAGAGAAAGATATCGTCCACAGCCTTGCCCATGGGACCATGAATGTTCTCGTAATCGGGCTTGCTATCGGCGTCAGGTCCAGACACAAAAAAGGGCTGCTGTTTGCTCTCGGATGATTGACACAGTTGGGTGCTACCGGTGTGGGATGGCAAAGGCGCGTGTTGCAGAAAGCCGGAACAACATGGCAGCACAAGAAGCAGTAATAGAAGTGACGATGAAGACAACATTCTCGTGTGAAATGATGCCGATATTATCTTCATGGTACACTGGCCCGAGCTTTGGTTCTTTTGGGGTAGACGGTGAGATGCGAGAGCCCAAAAAAATGTTCTTGGTTGTTGAAGCAAGGGACTTGGTTGAAGGCTGAGGTGTCGATCTTCCTCTAAAAATTCATTTCCACTCTGCTAGCTTTTTAAAAAGAAACGTCAACCTCGGAGCTGGTTTACAGCATCGTACCGGCACCATACATCGTACCGTACAGTCAGGTTGTAGCTTTTGTGTTTATCAGGGGTTTTAGAGTAGGGAGGCTATCTACCGACCCGGCACGGAAGACAGCGAGGGCCAGGCTTAGGCAAGAAGAGTGACAGTTGGAATTCAGGTTGTAGCTTCCTGTGTTCTGTGGTACGGACAAATAATGCAGTACGCTAGCTAGTATTGCTTACAAAAAGATGCACGCACCAACTCTACTCCTGCGCTACATACTAGTACATCGTAGCTCGAACTCAATGCTACCGGCACGTCGGGGATTCGATTCAACTGAAGCAAATAGTACTTGTAATTAAACCTACAGAACCCTTTGATTACCTCTGGCGGTGACAACACCCTCACCCAGCCACGAGGAGTGACACAAACCAGCCATGAGCGCCCTATCCCCTATCACGTACGGAGGCTGAGAGCAATACCTGTACCAAGGTGGCAACGTGGGCTGACTGTGTGCATCCATGTTGCTACCGTACCAGGAGCGGCCCCGTCGTAGCCTGCACGTACTGTTATTATCACCTTGGAGGTTGCTTGTCGTCTTGCTTGCCAGATAACTCCTTGCTGTTGAGCGAGGTTTGAAGGACTTTTTTGTTGTAACACGCTCGAAACGGATTCTCTTGGCCCTGGATGATGTAGTGGCAAGAAATGAAGGCTCTTGGGACGCGGACTAGGTGACGCCATACTGTCGTGGTTCTGGAGGGAGGTCCTCAGGGCTTGCTGGAGGACATGATTGGCAGCTTTCCTAGCAGACCTAAACGGGCTGCCCTCTCATGAAAGAACCACTTCATTACCGTAGTTGTACCAGCACAATCCAATATTCTGTTAGTTATGAGATTCTAGTATACAAATAATGCAAGCAACCGTTGGCCCCATTCGCAACAGAGGAGGATGGCAATGACTTGATTCGATTCTCGCTGCATCTTTTTCTTTGGACCACATTCACTGTCTTGCCTCCTTGTATCCCAGCGTTACATCTTCATACAGTCATTGCACAAGGAACTTGCCACTGTTGTCTCTTTGTCGTTGTTCATCTTCTTCTACCTGTAACCTAGCTGCCTCATGCTTTCGATTTCGATAATCCTTGTCCATAAAGTAGATTGGATAGGGAGGCAAGGCTCCATCGATACCTCCCTTTACCCGCTGCTGCGAACCGAAGCGGTGTTTGTATGCTACATCAGTGAGGTTCTTGACACACCGGACCATCATTTTCAAGTCAAAGTGCAGCTCTTCCAGTGGGACTGTCATGGCATTGTCAATGGGATGTCCGTATGTCAGGTATTTGAAGCGCAGTGCTTGGAGGTCCACAAAGAAATTGTGCATATGAAATGCGGAATATGTCGTGTAGTTGGGTGGGGGGTTCTTGATGGGAAAGGAACGGCCACCACAACCCATTCGAATGTCACCAGCACTGTACAGTGGAAATCGATTGTCTGTGATATTGTCAAGATTAATGGGTCCGCCATTGCAACTTCCAAACCCTAGAGCTCGATGTGGGCCAGCTCTTCCCTGTTTCCACTCCCTGGGTGCAATGATATTTTTCTTCTCATCCCCAATATTTTCCACACATGCCCCAATGACCATGTCAGGATGATGCCACTTTCGACCTTTGACGAGACAGTCAGGCGATGTTTCAAATACACGAGTGAATCCCTGCATCTTGGCTTTTCTCTGGTCACAATGGTGTGTCTTATAGTCAAATTCCTCCACATCACAACTCTGAACAGCTCGAAGAAAGTCGCGGGTGAATGCTTCATCTACATCACCGAGATAGCCTGTGGGAAAATCCTGTTTTGAGTCTACGTGCACTTCACAATCGAACAATGGAGCAAACGTCTTGAATACTTACCTATATCTTCGGGACCCATGCCCAATTCTTTCCACCCTTTGAGAATTTCTTGCCTCTGCTGGTGCTCTCTGAACAAGTCCATCAAGCCAGGATCTTCATTGATGAATTGTCGCACTTGCAGCTTGGGGGTCCCGTATAAGCGTCTGAGTCGTTCCGTGTTTTCTGGATTCCAAAGAAATGGCCGGGGAATGAAGTGCTGCGTTCGATTGGATTCCACAAAGGAAACCCCCGCAAAGACCCCATAGGCTTCCGTGGCAACAATATCCAGAGTCTCCCAGCTCTCGGCGGCAATCAGGCTGCCATAGAATATTCTTCGTAGAGACGTGGAGTTGTTGTTGCCATTCTGCTTCTTTACTGAAAAGCCATATCTGTGGCAACGTTCTGCGAGGTCCTCTTGGTCAATCTTGTCTTGAATCTCACGGAAAAACGACATGGGTTTGTTGGACAGTATCCCACGCGTGATTCCCAGGAAGCTGCTGATTTTGTTTTGGTTGTTTGATTGTATTTCCAAGGCTCTCGCCCAGGCAGGTCGTTCTTCTTTGATCCTTGGTTGAAAAACTTCTGTGGATGCTTCCAATAAGATTTGTGAAACGGACGATGCCGTCCAGAACACGTATGTTGTGTGACCAGCCAGCAGTATCAGAGCCACACGAACCACAAAAATCTTGACTCTCGGACCACCACCGCTGTTATTAACAGTGGAAGATGGTTCTTCGGGTCCATCGTGGGATGGTTTTTGTTTGCGGTGTCTTCTGGGCATGATCGTTGGATTGAATGTTTCTACTGGTATGACAGAAGGGACGGGAGGTTGTTTGCTTTGGTCGTCCCCATGCTTGCCATCAGCATCAACCCCCAAATACACGCTTCAGCTATCGGCGAGCACTCTCAGGGGTACAGTAGGATATGGTCAGGTCATCGTCACAGTCATCCAAAACAAAAAATGAGGCACAAAGTACGGCATTATTATTTAAAATGGATTTTCACTAGCTAGACATATACTAGCTAGTTACATACTGAGCCGTGTTTTGCTATCACCGCCAAAGAATAAAGTTTTGTTCCAGTCTACCTAAAAAACAATGGGCTGCACCGCTACACCTACATGTGGAGAGCTTGAATCATTGCAGGCTCCGCAATGCCACCAAAAAGCCATGTGGACGGATCAGTTGTCCTCCTCCTGTCGGTTCCATTGGTGGCTCATCTTCATCCTCCTGTCTCAGTTTGGTTGTTTGCTGATCTGAGTTGGTTGGGGTCACAGCCGTAAATATTAGTTTCTATTAACGCAAATGCAAGCAACTGTTGGTCCCAATCACGACGGAGAGAAACAGGGGGCACACTACCATAGCTAGGAGGATAGCAATGACTTGATTCTCTCTGCCTCTTTTTCTTTGGACCACATGTGCCTTCTTGCCTCCTTGTATTCCAGCGTTACATCTTCATACCGTCGTTGCACTGGGTCCATGCCAAGTCTGTCTCTTCGTCGTTGTTCGTCTTCTTCTACCTGTAACCTAGCTGCCTCATGCTTTCGATTTCGATAATCCTTGTCCATAAAGTAGATTGGAAAGGGAGGCAAGGCTCCATCGACACCTCCCTGTACACGATGATTCGATTGTTTGTCGGCAAAATGGTTTTCCGTTGGTGCATCGGTGAGGTTCTTGACACACCGGACCATTAATCTCAAGTCTGAGTGCAAGTCTTCCAGTGGCGCTGTCATGGCATTGTCAATGGGATGTCCATATGTAAGGTATTTGAAGCGCAGGGCGTGGAGGTCTACAAAGAAATTGTGCATATGAAATGCGGAATATGTCGTGTACTTGGGTGGGGGGTTCTTGATGGGAAAGAAACGACCACCACAACCCATTCGAATGTCACCAGCATTGTACAATGGAAATCGATTGTCCGTGATATTTTCAACATTCACAGGTCCATAGCAACTTCCAAACCCCGGAGATCGATGTGGGCCAGGTCTTCCATTAATCGGATCCCTGGGTGCAATGATATTTTTCTTCTCATCGCCAATATTTTCCACACAAGCCCCAATGACCATGTCAGGATGAAACCATGAGCGATCTTTGACGAGACAGTCAGGCGATGTTTCAAATACACGAGTGAATCCCTGCATCTTGGCTTTTCTCTGGTCGCAATGGTGTGTTTTATAGTCAAATTCCTCCACATTGCAACTCTGAACAGCCCGAAGAAAGTCGCGGGTGAATGCTTCATCTACATCACCGAGATAGCCTGTGGGAAAATGTTGTTGAACTGATTGAATTCTACAATCAAAATCAAAACAATTGAGCAAACGTCTTGAATACTTACCTATATCTTCGGGACCCATGCCTAATTCTTTCCACCCTTTGACAATCTCTTCCCTTTGCTCGTGCTCTCTGTACAAGTCCATCAATCCAGAATCTTCATTGATGAATTGTCGCACTTGCAGCTGGGGGGTCCCATATAACCGTCTGAGTCGTTCCGTGTTTTCTGCATTCCAATGAAATGGTCGGGGAATGAAGTGCTGCGTTCGATTGGATTCCACAAAGACAACTCCTGCAAACAGCCCATAGGCCTCGGTGGCAACAATATCCAGAGTCTCCCAGCTCTCGGCGGCAATCAGGCTGCCATAGAATATTCTTCGTAGAGATGTGGAGTTGTTGTCGCTATTCTGCTTCTTTACTGAAAAGCCATATCTGTGGCAACGTTCTGCGAGGTCCTCTTGGTCGATCTTGTCCTGGATTTCACGGAAAAACGACATGGGTTTGTTGGACAGAATCCCACGTGAAATTCCCAGGTATCTGCTGGTTTGGTTTTGGTCATCGGATTGTAGTTCCAAGGCTCTCACCCAGGCAGGTTCTTCTTCTTGGATGATTTGTTGAAGGACTTCTTTGGAGGCTTCCAGTAAGGCTCGCAATTGTGAAACGGACGATGTCGTCCAGAACACATAGGTCGAGTGACAAGCCAGTAGAATCAGTGCCACACGAGCAAAGAGAAACTTGACTCTGGGACCACTACTTGTACTAGTGGCAGATGTTACCTCCTCGGCCGGTTTTCGTTTGCGGTGTTTTCTGGGCATGATTGTTGGATTGAATGTGTCTATGACAGAAGGGAAGAAGGGGTCTCTGCTTTGGTCTTCCCGATGCATTCAACGGCCAGATTCGATTTGATTCAAGCGACGAGGGGTCGGGTCATCCAAAAATACTGGCGAAACGGCGGTCAAAGTCCAGTCCCAAAACCGCACCACTGGCTTATTTCTATTTGCAACACCTACCAGGTTCGTACCGGTACTAGCTAGAGTCTGGCTAGCTAGCTACGTCTAGCTAGTACCGGAACCATGGACCAAAAAATGACGGGTGGCATTCCGTGCTTTGTGGATTTGTGGATGGAGGTGGGAGAGCATACCGTACCTGGTACCTTTCGTCTCTACACCAGCTACATGTATGCATAGAGACAACCATAATCTAATCGTACCGGTAGCCCATCATATAGTGGTTGGCGCGTCATATATTGCACAACGATGAAGTGCACACCTTTAGCTACGTCGTACGGGCTCTCTGTCAAGTGATTGGGATAATGGACAGGGCAGCAGCCAAAGAAGTTTGTGACCAGGCATTGGCAAAGCTACCGTTACCAAGACCAGGAAGAAACAAGCGGAAGAATACAGTTTAGGATTGCAGAGACGCGGACTGACGGTCAGTATTTCACCCCAGAAGGATTTTGAGGGCGGAAGACCTTGCTGAAGAACCACCAGGATTGAGGCACCGTAGATAAGCAGCCAAGATGATAGATGAGCGGTTGGAGGCAATGCTCGAACGAAGTGGACTGCTTCAGAGGTGCGTACTTATCAGGCTGGCTGACAAGAGGTGCGGAACAAGACCAGAGCAAGACAAGAGGCGAGGAGCAAGTCAAGAAGGGAACCTCCATCACAGGAGCAGTGAAGCAAGGACATGACACTACCGGTACATACTATAGGCTGGCAAACACCCCATCGTTCTTATCGGTTGGCTACCATCGGTTGGCCAGACTGTCTCTCTCACTGCTTCTTGCTCTACTGCGGTGCTATATAAGGTTCCCCTGAGGTACTGGCAGTATCCAGTCAAGGCAACACAAGTTTCAGCAGCCCTTCCAAACTACTCCTAAAGTGCTAGCGGTACATGTATCATACCGGTGCCGGTGAGGTGGCCAGTCGTGAGTTGTTGGTGACTCCGTGAAAGTGGTTCTCATTCCAAAGATCTAGTCTTCGCCCTTCGTCGCCGACACAACTCCAACGGCAACGTGGCTGGTACCATAGTCCACAATCCTTCAACATTATTAGTTCGTCTATTATCAGCTCTATTATCCAAGTTCTATCCTACTGTGATACCAAGCTGTTGTCAAGACTTTCCCTCGTCCATTATCCTTCAAATTCGTGCCATTATCCAAGTTATACCCAAAAGCAAGAAAGATCACAATGACGACCGAAGAAGTACAGCCACGGATGCGCGTCCCTCGTTCGGGTCGTATGCCCCAGAGGAGCCAGTCGTCGGTTGGCGGTGAGCATCGTCCCTTGCAGCGTACAGCGACGGGCACGGCCACTGCGGGACCTCCTTCCCGAACCAGACAACCTTTGAAACGTCACAATACGACGGGAGGCAGAGCGCCCCGTGGCGCTGCCGTCTCTCCTCGTCGCGTGAAAAAGAAGGGGATCCGAGTGGCCATTACGGTGCGCAAACAGGAAGGCGACGATGAAGAGCAAGAAAAGCCAGAGGTCGAGGAAGAGGAGGATTTGAAGTTGTATCACATGGAAGTCCACTGTTCGGGAAAATTCAACCGCAAAGTCTGTTGGCCGGATATTGACTCTTTTTGGGGAGATCCCAATACCACCATTGACAAGAATTCCATGTGCGATTTATTGGAACAGTATACCCAAGAACAGTACCCCGAACGCAGAGATGCCGACAATTTACATCCCAAACGATGCTACATCAAAGATGAACCATTGCGTGGCATTAGCTTCTACAAGGATTATGGTTGGGATCCTGTCAAGTTACACCTCAAGGCCAGAGAAAAGAAGGAAGTAGAGATTCTGGAAAGATACACCAAATCCGTAAAGCTGGAAACCATCCCCGTCAATTTTGGAACCTCCGACATTAATGAAATTCTCATCCAACAAGGCGACAAGGCCGTCATTTCCACACTCACCAAATCCAAATTGCAGGGACATCCATTGGCATTGGAAATGATGGCCAGCGAGACACAAATTGTCGTCGAATTGCGGGGCCTGGAATCCATCGTGGGAGTGCTGGGCAATGACGAAGCACCACACGATGCGGATCCCGAAACGGGAGAACAAGTTTGGCGGGATGTCAAGACATTGCGAGCACTGCTGGCCGACAAGAAACCTCCCGAAAAAGAAGGCAAAGGACAACATCGGATACTCGAAGTCATGGCATTGGAATCCTACATCAAGGCACGTGTCTATTACAGAGCGTATGTGGAAGGTGACGTTGTGTCGGACCACGGTGTGGGACTCTTGTTGGGTGAACGGTGGTGGGCACATCCACTCAAGGATATCATGATGGGATATAACATTGACAATGCGGCCATTGTCTGGGAAGATATCGAACTTCGGTACTTTTCTGAAATTGGATACAAAATGGACAATGAATACTTTGACTGGGAGAATCAAGCAGGCAAGTGGGTCAAGGTTAAAAAGACACGAGAGCAGCCCTATTGATTCGGTTCATTCTATTTTTCCTTTCTGCTGGACTATTGCGAATGGATGAGTAGTTAGAAATGTAACGGTAACGAATTCGATAGCCGGTTGGTTTGTTTATTTTGACTGCATTGGGCGTGGTGACATCGTTCACGAGCAGCCAAGGAACGGGGTGCTGCACACGCCACCACCGAAAGCTGGAAGAAGAAGACGAAGACAACCAACGGGAAAATCAAAAGAAACGGCTTTTGGCCCATACCGTACGGTACACGGAGGCAACTGAGGACATGCAAAGAAGTCCAATGATGTGTTTCCGTACGTATTAGATTGGCGACTCTATTACACAGATCGACCGCCCTGTTGATGATCAATTCCATGCAAGCTAACCCATCCAAACAAACTTACAAACCACCAGCTTCTTTTGTTCCGTTAATCAACGTATCGATTATTAGCTGCTGGTATCATTGAGCTGAGTAGCTTCCAATGCTATCTAGCTACAGTAGGGTGTTTATTTTATTCTTCGTCTGGCATGCAAAGCATGCAAGCCAAGTCTCATGACAGAGCCCGATTGAATGCTTCTACATCCCGCTCTACCTTGGACTTGAACGTTTTTGATTTGATGGGAGTACCTTCAATTTGGTTGAAAGGATTGAGCGTGTATTCCACGTAGCTCTTATGGATTTTGGCCTGCAAAAACAAAAAGAAGGAGAAGATGTCTGTAGGTAAGGAAACAGACAAAACAAGTCGAGTCAAGTCTAGCACAAGAGGAGGTTTCATTTATTTCATGTCGTACCATGAGAGCTTTGATTCTATCGTCGACAGCTGGCTGTTCTGAATACGGTATCATTTCATCGTCTTCCACAACGACAATGATTTTGAGTTTGGTACTGGTCACATAGCCATACACCCGATAGTCTTCGACGGGACACAACAATCCGACAAAGTAGGCATCGACTCCCACGACACCAGGACTTCTCCAACCAAAGCCAGGCGGCGGTCCTGCCAATTGGACAAACCGATCCAAGGCAGCATGCAGAATGAACTGTTGCTTCAGAGAACAATCAAAGTCGTCCTCCGTAAATTGACCGTCCTTTTCGCTCAAATGCTCCAAACCAAACAACTCATCTTCCCAGCGACCCATCGTTCCAGAATTCGCTTCCCAGTGGTACTTGGTAGGAAACTCATTGCAATACACTGGTTTGTCGTCCCTCCCGACTATCGCAATGCTCACAGCTGCCATGGTTAGTTACTTACAAAGAAGTCGTCGTAATGGTGCAGGGGGTGTTGTTTTGGCCATGGTCGCTCTGTCTTTGCTGTTTCAGAGGTTAACGCTAAAAAGATCCAGCGTCAATGGTTAAGGCTAAAATGAAAGATCCTGCAAAGCTGCAAGATGAGCGGAACACACCGCGTGGCACTTCAAAAAGAACAGTAGCATCCAAGACAAAACAGCTCCAACCCACCGGTACCTCCAATGGTAGCCTGGAGTTGATAACTGACCTTGCCACAACCACAAATCATAAAATTGAATCTCAGTACAACCAACTATTAGTAACTGTGTGCGCTATGAATAGTAATACGAAGACTAACGATAAAGGTACGGGTACCGGCACTACAGAGTCCCCTCTTCTGTTTGCGGATGACTTGATTTGGAGTGGCCAGATTCTATCGTTTGTTGGTGTTGGACAGTACGCCTTTGTAGGGCCTGTCAACAAAAGAATCAACAAGCTTTACAGAGAGCACTGCAAAAGTGAACTCAAGAAAAATCCAAGAAAGGTTACCGACACGCCGGGGACACGCCCAAATTCTATCGGCTTTAGAGCTCGCTCGCCTGAAGTCACCGACACTCTTTGCAGTGAAACATTCTGTAACCTGCCACGTGCAGAATACTGGCTCAAGGATAATTCCAGCAACAAAAAACCTGATCGTGATAATGTTTGCAATGTCATTGCCAAAATTGGAAATATTATGGTCATGAAATGGGCTCGACAGAAAGGATTTCCGTGGGATGTGAGAACATGCTGCATGGCTGCTCTAGGTGGTCATTTAGAAATGATCCAATGGTTAAGAGCAAATGGATGTCCATGGAATGAGTGGACTTGTTTATGTGCTGCTGAAAACGGACATTTGGAAATTCTAAAGTGGGCCCGCGAAAATGCTTGTCCATGGAACGAAGAGACATGTGCTGGAGCTGCTAAGAATGGACATTTGGAAACTCTCCAATGGCTGTATGCGAATGGCTGTCCGTGGAATGAAGAGACATGTCGGGGGGCTGCCCTAAATGGACATTTGGAAATTCTGAAGTGGGCTCTTGAAAAGGATTGCCCAATTAATGAAAGGACATGCTGCATGGCTGCTCTAGGTGGTCATTTGGAAATTTTAAAGTGGGCTTATGAAAATGGATGTCCATTTGGTGCAGAAGAGACAGGTTGTCGTGCTGCAGAAGGTGGACATTTGGAAATTCTCCAATGGCTGCATGCAAATGATTGTCCATTGGATGAATATGCATGCGCAAGTGCTGCTTATGGTGGACGTTTTGAAATTGTGATTTGGTTGAGAGAAAATGGTTGTCCGTGGGATGAGCGGACATGCTCACATGCTGCTCTGTGTGGACAGTTGGAGTTTTTAAAATGGGCTCGTGAAAATGGTTGTCCATGGAACGAAGAGACATGCTCATATGCTGCTCGAAGAGGTCGCCTTGATGTGCTCAAGTGGGCTCGTGAAAATGATTGTCCATGGAATGAAAGGACATATGAAGAAGCATGCATGTATTTCAATTGCGAAATGATCAAAAGTGAGATGATCCAGTGGCTACGCGACAATGGCTGCCCTGGGTCTCAAAATGAAGTTAGCTATCGATTATAGTGCGATCTGGTTGCATCCACCACTAAAACAACAACAACAACAAAATCTTTATAATGGCAATTTCCATAGAGTAGTAGCCAGCCATTTGTTTCATTAGTGTTAGTGCAGTCGAGGCGTCTTGCTGCAATAGGAAGTGTCACGGTGGCTTTGCAGAACAAGAGGGATTGAATTTGGTCATGAAATGATGAAGATTCAGGTATATTAGTATACCCACACAAAATAGTGTAGATTGAAAGCCGGGATTTTGAGAGATCTGGAAGTCTTCAATGCATGCATGCATAGCAAAAGCCTATCTTATCGGCATCAAGGTACCTGGCACGGTAACAACCGCCGATACGATAGGTGAAACACCAGCAGCAACCATCAAGGAAACAACTATGACGGAGGATGATCCTTCCCCGGCAGCCTGACGGCATTGCTAATCACGCATCTTCGACCAAAACTAACCAAGCTGTGGCTTCTAATGAACATGTCCCTGCGGAGACAGAGGTTTTTGATGAAATAAATGGCCACAACTGAGGGCGAGGGAGGAAAAAACTTCTCCAGCGGCATCATAGACAACGCCTGAAGCATAACAACGGTGCCCATAGAATAAGAGGTTGACAATGGCTAGCTACTTAAAAGGGAACTTGAAAGTCGACAGTCACAGCGTTTGATTTTCAAGACCTCGGCAAACTTCCACGGTGTTGTTTCCCACGGTCCAATCGGTGGCTCGATCCTGATTTGGCCGAATTGGAACGTTCGCTGTTCGCTTCCACCTGGTTGAGACATGCGTCATGCAACCCTGCCCTGACGACTGTCACTCCACCAATGGGGCGACGCGAAGACAGCATGCCTTGATAAAGGCCTCTTCCTTCCAAAAAGAGAAACGAAGCATCATTTTTCTTGACTCTTCCCATCACAGGCTGTTGACACCTTGGATACGGATCATGCCGGTTGAGGTCGTTCGGATGAAAGCTATTGCCTTCCCATCAGCCAAAGGCTTGTGGCTGGGCTACTCCAAGCTGACACCAGTATCTTTTATGCATAGATGAGAGTTGCTTCCTGTTCCGATTTTCTTTCCAGTTCTCACTCGTGTGGATAGAAGCAGAAGTTCGGCAAGGTAGCAACCATAAAAACAAACAATACTGAAAGAACACACACACTAGACTACGAATAATCAAAAGACAACACTAAAATACAGACAACCATGATGGAGTGCTTAACAATAGAAGCAAAAACTCACTACAATTGCTTTACGGGGAATGATCAGGATACCCTCGAGCTCACCAAACAGCTCCAAGAAGATACCCATCAACAAAATGCGGAATGGCTTCACCTGATGATTGACAACAACCGAAGACAACCACAACAAGAACCCTTGCTGATATCACTCTTGGAGACTGTCGCAGCTTTACCCCATCTGAAGGAGATTACCATTTCGGGGGGTCCTCACAACCGTCGCTTTCCCGTAGCTGCGCTTACCGTCCTACTGCGCAAGGCTGTCCAATTGGAATCACTGCAGTTGCATGACATTGGTCTGGGACAGCAGAGCCCTTACGAAATGGCAGAACTACTCAAGGCGCATCCTACCCTCCACAAGGTGTCCTTGATGCGATGCACTTGCCGTCCAGTCCATGTTCTGATCCAAGCATTGTCACGCATGCCCCATTTGAAACAGGTACAACTAGACGGAACCATGATGAGTCAACAACATGAAGGAGAAGCTATTCATGCCTTGATGGCTGTCTGCCAATCAGTATCCTTGGAACGCTTGGAATTGGGAGACTTGGGAGAAGTGGGAATGATACCCCAATTGGTCGCCATGATGAATGCAATTGGCGAAGACTCCAATCTAAAGGAACTGTCGTTGCAGCTGGCGGTCTACGAAACCTTGCCCGTGGTGGTCGTCAGTGCCATGGCACGCATGCTCACACAGAATCATACTTTGCAACGATTGACGGTTCCCTGGATGGGCGGAGGCGAAATTTGGTTGCCACTGATTGGCGCTCTAACCAGCAATCGTGGCCTCCAAGAGCTGCGCTTGCACGGTGGTAGCAGCACTGGGTTGTTGTCCAATCACTTTTTGCAAAAGACTGCCACCGTCTTGAAAGACAACACGCACCTCACACACCTCTGGTATGATACATGGGTCGACAAGGACTTGGAAATTGACTTGTATCTCCTCGCCAACAAATTTGGAAGGGGGCATCTGATGAGCTTTGACAATGACAAACAAAACGACAATGCCACACATGAGGAGTGGGTGCAAGCCTTGGTGGCGTCCAAGGATCATGTACATGTCACCAATTATTGGTTGGCACACAATCCTTCGCTCTTGATAGCAATGCTATAGCTATCATGATGCTACCGGTACTGCTACGATGGCTGATGGCTGACAACAGCAGTAGGCAACAGATGCTTGCTCTGTTGAGGCTGCAAAAGAACGAGTGCAAGGAACGGCCGTGTGGCCATGGATTGCATTTTGCATTTTGCATGTTTACTTGATGTACAAAAACCAAGCTTCTAAATATTTTATGCGTTGATTGAACTGAAACCTAGAGTCCATAGCAGAACATACATGATCGACTGAACTAGCTAGCCAGGTTGGGGTAGGCAATCTCACCTTCCTGCTATCACTCCTCCTGATTGCCGTTCTATCAATGTCTCGGCTTCAGCTGCTGCACGCAATTTGCATGCTGAGCAGCTTCCTACAAGAAACCGTACGCGGCGGCATCCATAAAAAAACGAAGTCTGAAAATTCATCAATCTAATATGGAAATTTACATTGGCGGACTCAGTCACTCCTTTCCATGTCCTCTCGTCTCTCCTTGGTCAAAATCCTAGCAAGCTGCTACTTACAGATCAACAGCTTACTTTGTTTCGCTTTCGGATGTTGCCTCTGTAGGCTTTCCTTCTTCGGTGGTTGCCTCTTCTTCGGTGGCTGCTGGTGCTTCATCGCCCTCAGCCACAGCTTCTTCAGTGGCTGCCGGTGCTTCGTCACCTTCCTCCTTCACAGCTCCTTCATCGGCTGCTGGTGCTTCGTCAGACTTTTCAGTCTCAGCTCCTTCGTCAGTCGCTGGCGCTTCGTCTCCCTCGTCAGCCACAGCTTCTTCGGTAGCTGCTGGTGTTTCCTCGCCATTTTCAGTCTCAGCTTCTTCGTCGGCTGCGGGTGCTTCATCAACCTTTTCAGTCTCAGCTCCTTCGTCGGTTGCTGGTAATTCGTCACCCTCCGCAGCTTCTTCGGTGGCTGCTGGTGCTTCATCGCCCTCAGCCACAGTCTCTTCGGTGGCTGCTAGTTCTTCATCACTCTGTTCAGCAACAGCATCTTCGGTCTCTGCTGGTGCTTCATCACCCTGTTCAGCGACAGCTTCTTCCGTGGCTGCTGGTGCTTCATCAGGCACAGCTTCGTCCGTGCCCGATGGTGTTGCATCACGCTCCATGGTATCGGGTTCACCATCCTTCACTTCATCTTCAGCAACATCATCGGGTTGGACTTCGGCTTCTTCCACAGGTTCTTCCTGGTCTACTTCTTCTCCACCAACTCTTGCCTCTTCTGCCATGGCATCCACATCGTCGTCAATGGTTTCCTGGTGGTCGCCGCCATCTGTCAACACTTCTGTTCCCAGGATCTCGTCATCGAAATCCTGAGACCGAATGCTCTTGTTCCGAACCTCGTCAGCTTGCGAGCCAGAATCTTCTCTGTCGGCAAAGAACAACAGCTTGTCTTTGTAGCAATAGTACAGTCCAAGACCGACGTTCATCAAGAAGAGAAGCACAACCACAACAATCAGAATTGCGGTCGCTGCTGGGCTGAGCCCCCCATCCTTCTTTTCCTCTTCGCCTCCTTCGCCCTCTGTGACTCCTTCGTCCTCGATTAGGTCGTTGACAGGTGGAGTAGTCACTGTGGAGATGGGTGAAGAGGGATCTGCCGTAATCACGGCCGAAGAGTCTGGGTTGATTGCCTTCAATTCACTGTTCAAACCACCAGACTCGATGTAAGCTTCGGTGGCTTCGGTAAACGTATCAGCCACTACTTCAGGGTCAGAGCCGGCTGGAACAGAGACTTGATAACTCGCAGCACCCTGATAGCAGTCTAGGTTGTCTGCGCTGGGTTGTTCTGGACACTCGATAGGAGTGATAGAATCCAATGAAGCTGTTTCTGTATCCACAACGCCTGTGGTTTCAACCTGGGTTCTCCTTCCTCGCAAGAATCGGCCAGCAGCACCGCCACCCGACCCTCCAGCAGCACCACCTGAGACCACCTGGGCGATACCCTCGACGAGAGCACCAAAGGCTGCATCGATGTCGCTCTCGTTGAGAGGAGTTCCCTTCGGAGTAGAGATAAGGAAAGTTGTGTTGATGGTGACTTCAGTCATGTTTCCTTCTGGCGTGGTGGAGTTTCCATCATCCAAGGAATCTTCCTCATCGACGGCAAAACGCGGACAGGATTTCGATGTGAAAATAACCGCATCAGCTCCAAAGTTGGGTTCGATAGTTCCGTGATATTTTGCCCGCTCGGTATGTTTGAAAACATTATTTTTGGATACCGGAGGCGTTTGTTGCACGTATTCTTTAAGGTAGTGTGCGACGTCAATTACTGTCATCTCAGTCAACACCTCCCCAGGCTTAAGGAAATGGTCGTCTTCGTCCTTTGCCCGTACCTGGAAGGTCAACGAGAGAGGCCAATCAGCATCACTGGCGTAAGTCCAGTCGCTGACGAGGAAATCAAACTTGTCAATGATGCCTCCTGTGCTGTTCCATTCATCGTCGAAGTAGTAGGCTGTCTCACATATCATTGACTCCATTTCTTCAAGAGTGGGCTCTCGACCATCTCCATCGAAGAAACTGTAATCGTAGTAAAAAGTGGCAAGGTCTTTAAATCCCATGTCTCCCACGTCAGGTTTCCTACTCGGTTCTGGTCTGGGCTTGCCTTCATCAGAGCTGGTGCTATTGCCATCGTCAGAACTGGTGCTATTGCCATCATCAGAGCCAAAAGGTTTATCACCAAGTCTGTTTGGTCCTTCATCCGAGCTTGTGCGGTTGCCATCATCCGAGCTTGTGCGGTTGCCGTCATCCGAGCTGGTGCAGTTTTCATCGTCCAAGTCCAAATAGTCAGATTCTTCGTCTCCGAAGCAGGACTTGCTGGACAACTTTACCCCATTGCTTTTCTTGAATTTTCGGGGTCTAGCATAATAGTCCACAACCTCTGTCCACCAGAAGACATTGCTCTCGGAGGCAGGAGGGGTTTCCCACATGTACGTTCCAATAAGAGCCTCAATATCCGCTGCATCCATTTCATCCAAGACATCGGCGGGGAAAATCTCTGAATCGGACTCGTCTTCTGCCTTGACCGCAATTGTCAAGTTCAGTGGAGAACTGGCACCTTCCGTATACTTCCAATCCGTTACCAAGAACTCAAAGTGCTCAATAAGAGAATCTGAACTCGACCATAGGCCATCGTAGTAGTGGACCATTTGACAGAACATTGCTTCGAATTCTTCATCCGTGGGCAATCGCTCTTCTCCAGCCTTGAAGCCCACCTCGAAGTCAAAGATGGCCAAATTTTCTTCCTTATCATCGTCCTTGTCCTTATCCTTGTCTTTATCCTTGCCCTTGCACTTCTTTTTCCCCTTGTCATATCCATTGTCTTCGCCATTGCCATTCCTGTTACTTCCTTTGCCTTCTCCCTTGCCTTTACCTTCGCCCTTGCCTTTGTCATGCTTTGTGCGGTTGCCATCGTCGCTAGAACGTGTGCGGTTGCCATCATCAATCGAGTCTGTGCTGTTCGAGCGATCAGGTCGCGTGTGGTTGCCATCTTCAGAGTCAAACGAGATCGAGGCTCCTCGGTGAGTACCATTGTGCCCATCAGGCCTGGTATGGTTGCCACCGTCGTCCTCCGAGTCAACGCTAGTGCTGTTGCCATCGTCACTTTGGCTATGATTGCCAGGCTTGAACTTGTGGGTGCGGTTGCCTCCCAACAAGTTGTCATGGTCGAATTGAGGACAGGACTTGGATGAGAAGACATCCCCATCACTTTCCATATCATACGCAGGACGCATGGCGCCATGGTAGTCAACCTGGGTGGCATGGAAGAACAGATTAGTCTCATTGACAGGCTCCGTCTTCCACACATACTCCTTGATGTACGTCTTGACATTGATTCTAGTCATTTCTGCCATGACCAGTCCTGGACCAATATGGTTCCCCAACTCATTCTTGGCCTTGACTTGGATGGTCACGGACAGGGGAGTGCTTTCATTGCCGCCCGCAGCTGCCACCGCCGCATCGTAGGTCCAGTTGGTCAGGAGAAACTCAAAATCTTTAATGGCCGCACCCACACCAGCACCTCCAAGAACGTCGGCTCCGGCCACCCATGCATGGGCATAGTATCCAGCTGTCTGGCAGATCAATTCTTCTAGTTCGTCTTCGGTGGGAGCCCGTTCTTCTCCTGGCTCAAAGCCATAGAAAAAGTCAAAGGATGCCAGGTTCTTGTCTTTCTCGTCTTCTTTTTCTTCTCCGTCTTCTGGTTCCGGCTCGACGACTTCTCCTTCGACGCACCAATCGGTGGAGAAGGTATCATCGGGGGGGTCTTCATCATCGTATCGAACCGTGCCATGGAACTTCACCTCGTCGACGTCCTTGAACCAACCTTTGCCTCCCTTGACTTTGGTCTTCCAGACGGCCTTTTCCACGTACTTTTCAAAGTCCGAGTCTTGGATCCATTCCATGATATCGAGGGGACTGATCTGTCTTCCACTGGGCGACTCGAATGCCTTGGTATCCATGACCACTTCAATGGGTAAGTCAAGCGTGGGATCAAAGACGAGGGACACCTTGTCAAAGGTCATGTAGACTTCATTGCCTCCGCCGCCAGCACCCAAATTATCATCTTCCGTAAGCAATTCCGTGTACCACTCGTCCGTTTCACATAGCATGTTTTCCACATCCTTGTCGGTAGGATTGAGGCTCGTAACGTTGACATCGGAAAAGAATCCGTACTTGAAAGTGATGCGAGAGACACCGCAGTTGGCAGTGGAAAAGTAAGTATCCCCCGTGGATGCTGGTTGGAGGGTGACTTGGTACGAGGTGACAACTGCCAGGTTAAAGTAGGCATGATCGTTGAGGGCAGCCTCCATGGCCGATGTCAGGGTGGCGGCGTCAATTCCATTGGTCAATTCTGTGAGGAGGTTCGTTGGATCCACCTTTACCTGTTGGGATGTAACGATATCGATTTCGCTGGCTTTGGACTCTAGTTTGATAGTGGCTGTTTGAGCGATTTCATCAAACGTCCAAGCCGCAAAGTCGGCTTGGTACAATACGTCGGCTTGGAGTGAGTCGGTCAAATGATGCGTCCATAGGGTATCCATTTTACAGAGATACTCTTCAAAATCTCCATCATTGGGTAGAGTGCCATTGTTGGCAGTCATGGCGGCCGAAACATCAAAAGCGATTTCCATCAAGGTTGTCATGGAAATGAGTTGGCGATGTTCTTCATGATCAGTTTCTTCAGTGGTCTCGGCTTGTTGGATCTTGCGATATTCCTGTCGAAGTTTTCCGACAAGACCATTGTGTTCTGGAGGCCGAAGTGCTTGTCGGATAATGGCGTTATCCGTGGCAGTGGAGATGCCAAGAGTCGACAGGAGGGGTAGAAGGAGCAAGAGGAAGGATGATACCGTCATGGTCGGATTTTCAAAAGGAATGGAAGATATTCTCAATTTTGAGGTTGGATACACTCTTGTTGGGAAGGATGGATACCGGTGACAAGGAGGGTATACTATGGCATCAACGACAACAACACCTTGGATAATGGACTTCCAAGGGTATACCGCGTTCTAAAGGTGAACCGAGGGATGACTGGCAACTCTTGCTTTCAGAGCTTGTGCGTGCAGTATAGATATATTGGCATTGGGTGCTGCTGGCTGCTGGGTTGCTACCTTTTGGCTGCGCTTTCAACAACGTAGTTACCAAGCTATCGATCCTTGTCTCAAATTGTGAACAAGATACTTCCATAGTTCCGCTCTTACTGGATCAAGTAGCTACCGGGATACCGGGATGTGCAAGTTGGTAGGGCCTTTCTCTGTGCCGTCATAGCTACAGTATAACCATCGAATAGTAGTTCACCTTGGCCAAATGAAATCTGGTTGGGTATATTTTATTATCCATGACTCATGTAGAAAATGTACCGTACCAAAGATATAGGGACAATAGATCTCTGAAGGACTTAACAACCGCGAATACTGTACAACCGCGAATACAAAAAGTGCTTTGCCACGCGCCCAGCAGTGCCATGACTTCTTTCGCTTTGGGCCCGATGCCACCAATTGCATCCATCCGACTCCAAAAGCCAGCGAGACAGAGGATTTCCTGTGAGTGGTTCATGGTCATTGCCTTCGCATCCACAGCACGGTGTTGGTAGCAACCAAGCATTTCACAAATCCTTGAACATTTATTTTTGAAATATCACTCGAACTAACTATCAAAGAGCTAGTCAGCAAGTACCGGCAGAGCTTAAACAAACACCAAAACAAGAGCAATGTGCAGCCCTCATCATCACAACAGCATTGACGCTGCCCCCTTGTCGCCGTCCAAGACAGTCTCTTTTGTAGCAGATGATCAAGTCATTACCATTGATAGGATAAAGTTATCCTTCTACAAGCCAAGGGACTTTTTGCGCTTTGCCGCCGAGGAAAAGGCAGTTGATGAGAAGTCCACTTACAGTGGCATTGCCACCACTGTTGCCAAGTTGGATCAAAAGTATACCGTCATGGAACGACAGCAAGCCAAGGCCAAGCTAGCTGAGAAGCGACGAAGAGGCTACCAAATGATGCAGCGAAGAAGGGCGCAGAGGATTGCTCCTCACTAACAAACTTGGAGGGAGGGTCATTGTGAGATGACACCCGACCTGACCCGTTGCCGCCAAGGGACTGACGACAGTCCAAAAAGGCAAAACCAACACCAACCCTTTGGCAAGGCAAACTCAAGCCCTTCCGCCTCCTATTCTTATACCATTACTGGTACCAAGAATTTTAACGAATGCATATGCTACCGCTACCAAAGCAAGAAAAGATTGAATCATTCTGGCTACTCACTGGCTACGGGGCAATCCTCGATCGGCTGTTTCATACAATATATTTCATGAGTCATTCTCATGGAAAATATGGATTTGTACCTATCAGGGTATTACTTAATTTGATAACTTCCCTACTCGATAATCCCCCTTTATATTATATTGATTGTGCTTTGTGTTGTGGGTTACGAGCTGTTGCTTGGTTGCAATCGGTGTCATTTCTTGTTCGATGTTCTGGATTGTTACCCAAACGATTCAATCCCTGGCCTTAGCAAGCCTCAGGACTTCGATTGTTCCAAAATCCAAGCTTTCCGCCATCGGTATGGTATTTGACCTTGCTCACCATATTTGTGCAATCTGCTGCTTATCCCACCTGGCTAGGATCTTACCGATAGATCCCACCTATTCAGGCTACTCGAGCCAGCTTGTCCCGCCAATCCAAGACCTTTTGAAAACTTCTATTCTCTATGATTTGATTATGTATGCATTGAAACTGACCTCCATTTTTGCCTTGTTTCGCTTGTCCTTGGCACTTGCGTTCCGGACCAGTTCGCCATGTATTTCTTGTCTTCTAGCCTACCGTACTAGCAGAGGACGGAACAAACTTAGAGAGCCAAGGCAGCTCCGGCAATGGCTCCAAAGGCAGCAAGAGAGGCCATGGCAGTGTCAGCAGAGGATCCTGCACCATTGTTTTTCTCAACGGCAAATGGCTGGGGCTGGACATCCACTGTTTCCGTCACCTCGCTCTGAAGCTTGCGGTGGCCATCCACAATCTGAATATTCTTGCGCAGACGACGACCAGGAGGGGCAGCAGCAGTTCCTCCAAGTTCCAAGAGAATGCTTCCAACTCCAGTCAATGTCAAGGCTTCAAAATCATAAAAGTCAGCAAACAACAAGAAGGAAACCAAACAGACATTGTTATCATTTCCTTCATCAACACACTTCTTGGTGGAGAAGATGGTAGAGGCAGGTTGAGATTCGGTGATAATGAGCTGAGAGGGCTCTGCAGCTTCAGCATTCTTGACAGTGAACTCCATGATATCCTTGACTTGGAACTGTCCTGTTTCAACCCTGAAGCAAACGTTGAGGGTGCTTCCTTGAGTGGTGACAGCATCTGAACCATCATTGGTAAGAATGGTGTAGCTGTCAGGGTCGCAGAAGTATGCCAAGAGAGTTCCATCAAAGCTGAGATTGGTGTCCTCGGCATCGGTAAAGTCCTCGGCTTGAGTGACAGTGTAGCCAGTCAACTCAGGAACTTGGGTAACCAGATTGACATTGTAGGTAAGAAGGACTTCTGCATAGTCAATGAGAGTATCCGCATCATACAGTCCAACCTCAACACAGAACTCCACAATGGCATTGACAGCATCACCAGCATCTCTGTAGATCAGATTGTTTCCTGCAATTCCTTCAATGAATCGAAAGTCAACGGCATTGCCTGCACCGGGGTTGTTGATAATACCACCATGATCAACTTCAATTCCAGTTACATTGGTTGTGGGAAACCAGTGGCCCACAGCCTGGCGGTTGGCTGTATCCTTGCGGCACAAGTCAGTGACCTTAATCTTGATATTGGCACTGGCAGCACCATTACCTGTTCCAGTCTCAAAGGTGAATCCCTGGTCTTGAAGGGTTTTGATGGTGACATGCCAATCAGTAATCTGGAGGTCACGTCCAGAGTCTTCAGCAGCCATGGCCAAGGCTGGAATGAGGAGCAGCAAGAGGGATGCAATGAACTTCATGTTTGTTTGTGGCAAGCTTTGCAAGAGGTTTTTTAGAAGGTGCTTTTTGATTGCTCGGATTGAGATTTGTGAGCTTTGAATGTTGCCGAAACAAAATCAACAACCCCATCAGACTGAAGGTAATGGCCTGCCTGGATATGGCTACGGGTCATCGACTCTACATGCAATCATCTACAGGGGTCGGTTCGTTCATTTCATAACTGGGGAGCCAACTGGAGATGGTTGCAGCATAGCTGTTACTCAGGTCTTCGCGTTACGCTTACACCCCCCCCGAACAAGCCATTTCTGAGACCGATAAAGGCCCAGTTTCGTTTCCAGGGTATCCAGACTGTGGAGTTCTTTCAACAGCGACGTTTCCCTCCTCCCCTTGGCTGTCTCAAGCATGCGCATGACCCAGCTACAGTAACTGGCGTCTTCTCTCGCCGTGACTTGAACGGTCGGACAACTGACTGTGTGTTTGGGTTAGAAAGAACGGGTATTACAGCAAAACAGTTTGACTGGAGATGCGGCGGCAACCGCCAACCGCTCCTTATTTCTACAGTCAACACCAACATCTAAGGTGAGGCGGTCGTCACTTGTAAAGCGGGTGTGAGACCTCCCCCACAGCCCTCCAGCCAGCCAGCAGCCAACAGCTGCACACCTGCAGCCCGCTACCGGTATGCACTGGTGGCGCAGAAACTTCATGAATTCATTCAAAGTTGTCGCCACTCCACTGGTACATCAATGCCTAGTAGTTGGCTAGCTGGAGTTATCATTAGCAAAGACTCCCACATGGCGTTGTATGCTTCCAGCGCAAATGGAGCTAGCTGGAGGGACTGCAGCTGTTGAAAATGGAATACGGTACTATCTATACTTTACATTCATATCACATGATGGTATGCCTCCTTTTCTTCGGTTTTGAGCAAATCAGTTTCGCCTGTTTGCTGTTGCCGTTGCCGCCGCTGTCTGTGCCATTTCAGATGATTCCGTAGTATCAGGACTGCGGTTGCCAAGATTGCAACGGACAACAACACTATTACAGCGATCACCCAACCTGGGGGCTTATCCGCATCTTTCTTCTTGTCGTCGTCGTCCTCAGAACTCGATGACGGCGCAGGTGACGGTGGTGGTGAGGATTGCACCTGCGCTACAACGGTTGTGGTGACAGTGTAGGTTTTCCCGGGGTCCGGCACGATTGTCAAACTGGAAGTTGGGTCTCTCTCGGTCAATTTTTCTTGGAGTAACCCTTGCGTAATGGCGACCTGGGTCATGACGACAAACTCGTTTTCGACTTCAACGGGATTCTCTGCGACAACCTCGACATCATACAATATGGGTATTCTGGTGCACACCTTGCTGTCGTCGTGCCATTGTTGCCCAAAGTAGTAGGAACAGTCTTTGGGCGCTTCAGGTTCACCAACAAACACAGTATCAAGGTCAATGTTGGCCTGAAGACGGCGGCCCCTTGTCTTGGGTGGCTCGTTGTTGTTAGCAGTTGTCTTGGAGGCTACCGATTGGTCTTCTGCTTCTTCATCCTCAGCATTGCTATCATCACTGCCGCCAACAGTGCCACGCTTTGGTCTCCCTTGAATCATTTCCGACAACATGTCCTTGACGGCTCGTGATAGTTGTTCCGTGTCCTTACTAACGGGTTCGTCGGGCCCATGCACCGCAATGGCACTGGAAGCAATGGTAACCTTTGGAGTGGACTTGATGGGTCGAAAGGGCGAGCCATTGGCAAGATTTCCCGGATTGTTGCTGTTTCCATATGCGCCTCCTTCTTGATTGTTCTCCTCCGTGTTGTCACCGCTTTCTCGTTCGGCACTACCAGGACCATCATCCCCATCTTGTTGCTGTACGTGGTTGTTTCCCTGTCCCACACCACCCAGCGTAAAGCCGCCTCCTCCACTACCGCCTCCTCCACTACCGCCTCCTCCACCTCCACCACCACTACCGCTTGTTTGGGGACGAGCCGCTGCCTGCCGCACACATTCATTCGACGACAGTTTTACGGTGCCTGTAACATTGGTAGTTGGAATGACGCCTCCATCCATGCGTATTTCATCGGCATGATAAAAGTAACTTCCAGGCGGATTCCCCTTCCAAACGTAATTGTCAAAAAAGCCTTGTACGACAAAGCGTTGTTGCATCTTGTCCCAGAGTAGTTGTGGGTCGACGCGACGACGAGTATCTTCTTCGGAAGACGTTGTTTGGATGTTTGCGTGTGCCGTCAAGAAGAATTGAAAGGGATAGGGCGAATCGGGATTGTAGACCCAATCGTAACATTGCAATTCTAGGTCGACAAAGGTTTCGTGAACATGGTAGGGTTGCTGTTGTTGCTGTGGTCGTGCTTGTGCCGTGGTAAGGGGTCTTGGCGGTTGTTGCTGCTGTCGTGGTGGCAACTGGAGCATGTCCTGGAGCTGAAAGAATGTTTGACAAAATAGTTGTTGAACATCTTGTGGTGTGGGTGGCACTCCCGCTCCCGCAAATCCATCTTGAAATCCAAATTCGACCATCCAGCTCGTAGTAATATCGGTGTTGTCACTGTTGTTATAATAGTAGTGTCGTTCGGGGACCATCATGATACCGCCGTCGCAATCGTTGGTGGTATCTGGCGTCGCGGCGGGCAATGGTTCGGTCAACGTTCGGACGTGTCCGTAGTATTGTACGATTTTGGTGTTGAAAAAGGGACTGGTTTGATAGGGTTGTGTCTCCCACACGGCTTCCTGAATGTACTCGTCCCAGTACGAGTATTGCATCCATTCGAGTACTTGGAGTGCGGGGACTCGTCGTGATGTGGATGCGAGATTCGCTCGTAGATCAAAGTCGACCGTGAGTGGTACTCCAGAAGAAGGCGATGAGTCGAGTTTAAAGTCCATGCGATCAATATCAATGTGAACGGAATCATAGTAGTAGTTGTTTCCTTGTTGCTGTTGTACATAGTGATACAGCTGATCAAAGAGTACCGTAAAGTAGGCTCTACTGGAACAGAGTAGATTATCAATGTCTTCTTGTGTGGTGGGATTCTGTAGATCGTCGTCGAATTCAAACTGGAGTGTCACTCGTGCGACTCCACAGTTGTCCGCCGTGGAAAAGTAGTCTCGACGAAAGTTGGTGGGAGCTGGAACGACCTTTCCTTCCCATTTGGTAATGGCAGTAGTAGTCGAATGCCACGCATACGGTTCTTGTGGATTGTAGTGTTGCTGCATCCATGCATTCATTCGATCCTTATCGGTACTGATATCGAGTTCCAGTAAGAGTTCGTCGGCCGTCATGCCCAAGACAAAGGCATCCACAATCACAATGGAATTCCTCATCCACTTGCCATGACTCAAATATACGGTAGAGCCTCCCACGGCTTGACTGTAGTAGGCATCCAAGTGACACAGAAACGATTCAAAGTCGCCATCACTCGCAGCAGTAGTACTACTGCCCGACAAATCCAAGTCGAATCGAAGTCGAACCACTTCTTCCGGTGGTTGGGTACGATTCTGACCAAACAAGCCACTGTTCTTGAACGGATCGTCGCCTTCAGGAGACATGGTCAGCATGAGCAGGTTTCGGTCTTCTTCATCTTCTTCTGATAGTTCATTATCTTTATCATTAGATACCACTGCTCTATTATCCATGCCTTGAACAAGGACCAAAGCGAACAGCAGCAGCAGGGAAAGCACAACCAACAGGGATGACATTGTTGATTGATTGTAGACCTACTGGTACTGTGAAGAGCTAATGCGATAATAGAGCAGAGTGGTACAGTCAGTAACTGATGGTCGATGCAATGAGTGTGGTCTGTTGGTGTTGGTCTTTGCTATCTAACTTGTGGTGGCTTGGTTGGTACCAACAATACTTTCAGTTCGGTCGTTACGAAGCAGCGAACAACCGAGAACCCACACTTCCCCACGGTCGAGAGCTTCCTCTTCTCCCTCACCTCTCAAAGCTCGTAACCTTGTTGTGTACCATCCACTGTACAGTACCACGTACGGCACTGCAGTACCAGTACCGGTGTGCTGGTAAGCATTTTAGACACAATGACTCAATGGGAAGCTCAGATGACCAGGAGGAGTCTGAAATGATCATGGTTCTTAAATACTATGGCATGTTCTCGATAAAAATATTCGAATTGATTAATTTTAAAATAGGAGATGAGCTATTAATTCATTACTTTGAGAGAAAAGTGACCACGACGAGAGGATTTATTGAACTGTGTGCTGGAACATCTTCCGTCTTTCCAGTATTAACCGGTACCGGTACAGTACTGAACCACCAGCAAACAGCAGCCTTGCGCCCAAGCCACCAACGGAAGGAAGCCACAATTCGCGAGTATTGGTGCCGTTGGTCACACTTGGTACATGTAGCGGTACATCATGTAGACTCCGAGGTCGAGTGATGAGAGTAGAGGGATTGGATAGGAAGAGAATACGGGCGTACCGGTACAGTCGTATCGGGTAGAGTGCCGAATGGAAGCGCCACAGATGTTGGCTGGGAAGAGCTGCTTTTTGGCTGACCATGAACCAAGAATGGTTCCGTAGAAAGATTATCTACAGTTGGTTTTGTATACGAAGTCTGGATTTTCCTTTCTCTAGAGACTTGGCTTGTCCTTCAGGTACACTCCGAAGTACCGTAGAACACCAGGATGTGCTGCTCTCAAATACTTTTAATAATCTATTATTTCTTCCGAAAGGGAAGAGGCAGGAGCAATTTGCCAAAAGCTCAAATCTGGCTTCTAAAGGTAAGACAGCAAGCATAATTAGCTCTGCGAGCTTATAAATACTAGACATAAGCCAGCAAACGCTGTAATTTTGAAGCTGGGTTGATACAGTCAACGCTCGCTTATATTTATAATCTTGTATTTATTCGCTCTATAATATTTAAGAATACTCCAGTTCCCACATTTTTAACTCTAACCCTATTTTAGTACTAGAGCACGTACAATTCTACGGGAATAGTTAGGGTTAGGGATAAAATCAATATTTATTCTCGCTGTTATATTTACTGAATTCCTGAATCCCCCCCAGTATATATATCTGAATGTTGACTGTATCATTGTTGCTGTGCAGTTTTTGAAAGCTCAGAACCACGTGGCCAAGCCACAAACAAATAAGGGGCAGACCCAGCACGAATGCTGCAATCGGCAGGTGCTGTAAATCAACACCGACCGAAGGTTGCTACCGTATGCCTACAAACTGATAACCGATGGGTGTCATAATTTTCCTTCTTTCCCACGCATCCACCATAACCTTCAGCACAAACTCTGGAGTACGGTAGTCTGTGATGTTGACCCAAACGACCTCTTCAACCCACATGGACGATACCAGTAAGTCCCCTGCCAAAACCGTCTCGTTGACAAGTAAAGACGACTCTTCAGCCACCTCCAGTGAAAGCGATATCCAAGAACCGCATCCACCATCTGACGCGATGAAAGGACTCTCCGAGACTGCCAAAAAGACATTGTCCACCGAATCATCCTATGGACACCCCCTCTCTGCCGAAGAAGCTGCCAAACGAGTGCCTCCTGGTGAGGATGGTCTCCAATGGCATGCCACTCTCATCAATGGCGATCCGTTTGACACGAATGGTAAACTCAAAAAAGGTCTCCATCCACGAGACTTTGACCTGGAAACCAAAACCATTCGACCACGACGAGCCAGTCTGCCGGTCTTGGCCAAACCATTCTTTGCCTCTTTGACACGTGTGCAAGACGAACCCAATGGTACAAGCGCTAGATTCATCTTTCACGGAATCTTGAATGGATGGCCATCACTCCAGGCATTCGAAGTCATGCGAATTGAACGAAAGCGTGGCATTATGTCAATGGTAGGATTATCCGAGTGGGTACCTGTGTGGGATGCCAATGAGGAAGGAACGCGTGGCATCGATCCAACCTTGCCGGATGAACTCGTCTTTCGGGTCACACTCCGTGCCCCCAGTCATTCTACCACGGGGTGGTCCCAAGAGAGCCCTGGATTTGTCTTTTGGTACCAGCCTATCCTCCATACTAATAATCCACAACAACAACCCACGCTGACCTATGGAACTCAAATGGTACAAGACATGGTGGATCCAAACCCTATTTGTACAAAAGTCCACATGCTGGGGCACCGCTACGAACGCTCGGGAAATGAGAATGCATTCAACAGGCAAACCTATCATAGGTAAGAAGAATAACCCATAGCCATGGAGCAGGAACTTCCAGCTCGTCAGTCTCTCACATCCAAATATTGCTTGCTTCAGTCTTGTCCTTCTTGAGTGGGATCATCAAAAATATTGCACAGTGGTGGAAAAAGGATTTCTCAATGGATTAGCAGGCTGGAAGTAAGTGAAAGAGTTATTTGCTTGCGCTTGGCTGGTGGGATGGGAGCAAATGAATGGGATGCGTCTCTTACATGTATGTGTTGTGACTTACTTTGTCTGTTCATCAAATCAAATCAAAACAGTGGAAAATGTCTTCATTACGATGACATGGACGAGCCTGAAACTCAAATGTACAAGTGCTTTCCACCCGAGATGGTAGCTCCATGGTTGACTGACATTGCAGAGATTCGATGTTCCGATGTGGAGGCTACGTCATTGGAAGAGTTCAAGGCCTACTTGGTCAAATATGAACAATGCAACAAACGATTCTTTGATATACAACACACATTCTCATCACATTCGGCGGCACGACAAGTATCCAAAAAGGATATTGCAGAGTATTTGGTCAACTATATTCGTGGAGATCCATCCTACGTGGTACTCAATCACAACTGTCAGACATTCACTGCAGATCTCTGCAACTTTTTGGCGGCAGATGAAGAGAACACGGCGAAACCTATCCGACCGTTCTTTCAATTTTTCTACAAGAATCGAACAGATCTGTTTCTCTAACTATAAGAACCTGACAGGTACGGTATGATCAAAACATAGAACGGGAGGCAGTCCTCAAAGGTCAATGTCCGAGCTGAAGGACACAGTAACACTAAGCAACAACACTAACACAAAGGAGAACCTTTTTGCCATGGCAAGAGCCAAACAAGTTCAACGACTTCGGGTACCTATCCGTTATCTCGAGCAACTTAGACAATGTCATGGCCTCGTTATCTATCTATCTATATGTAGTTGGCTAACGCTAGACTACCTGGCTCGCTGGCTATTGCTTTTTGCGGCTCTTGTAGACCCCAGGAACCACTGTTTTGGTACGGAGGCTGTTGCATTGTTCACAGTTGCACATACTTGGTTCCCATGATCCTGAAGTACAACTCTACCTACTACCGGTAGTTGTCCTTGCTAGCTTGGGTAACTACCGGTTTGTTTCATTTCTCTTTCATGCATCTGAGATCGCTCTCATCAGCTGCCTGTATCTCTTGTACCAGGCGGTGGTAGCTACTTTTGGCGCTTCCAACAGCCAACAGCACACTGGAAAGCCCCGCAAAAGCTGAATTTTGCGATTACCCATAATTAAGCACCTTGAACTGGTGAAAAAAATCAACAGGTGTTGAAAAAGTGTTAATAAAGTGTTGAAAAAATGTACGTTAAGTGTTGATTCTATTTCATTACTGCTGAAAATACTGTTGAAAATTTGTACATTTGTACATCATTTTCAACACTTTTACTGCAAACTGGATTTAACAGGTGTTGAAAACAGTGTCCAACAGTATTCAACAGTGTTGAAAAAGTGTTGAAATAGTGTTGACTAACTGTTTAAAGAAACTCTTACTGTTGAAACAAAATTCAACGTGTTTACAACCAATTCAGCGATTTCAGCATTCGCGGGACTTTTCTGCGGGTCTCCAGCTAGTACCGGTACGATGTTTCTAAAAACACACCCTCTCACTTATGGGACCGTTGGCCCCAGGTTTAACCGAGCGAAGCGATGGTTAAACCGTTGGGGGCAGGTCCCTTAAGTGAGTGGTGTGTTTTAGAGGCAATACACCGTTGGGCGGTACTGACAGTAATTAAGGAGGTTGTTCAATAAAATTACAGGTTATAAATTTTATTTATGAAGGTGAAAAATACTGTTTAAGCAGGTGTTCTCTGTGACAAACAGACAGCATTGAGAACAGTAAAAAAGCACTGAAATCGTGAAAATCCTAACCAACAATACTACATGTAGTAACAACACCACACCAACAACATCACCATGGCCACAAGGCCACACCAACCAGCCCTCGCGGCGAGCGACAAGCACACCCACAACCGCAGAAGCCCTCGCGGCGTTTGAGCGACAAACCCAGTAGAAGCAGCGGATTTTGACAACAACAAGCCCTCGCGGCGTTTGAGCGACACATCCACAACAAAAACAAAGCCTTCGCGGCGAGCGACACACCCACAACAACAAGCCGTCGCGGCGTTTGAGCGACCGCACGACCACACCCACAACAAGCCCTCGCGGCGTTTGAGCAACCACGCCAACAACAATTGAAAGCCCTCGCGGCGAGCGACAACAATCAACCACACGAAGCCCTCGCGGCGAGCGACAACAAGCGACCCACACCCACACAACAACAAGCCCTCGCGGCGTTTGAGCGACCACGCCGACAACAATTGAAAGCCCTCGCGGCGAGCGACAACAATCAACCACACAGACAACAACAAGCCCTCGCGGCGAACGACAACAACAACAAGCACACACCCAGGAGCTGATGGCCACACACCAAGGCGATCTGAAGCATTGGTTTGTGTTGAACTGATGGAGAAAAACGTAAAATAGCTCTCAAAACGAAAAATCGATTTTTTCAGCTGTCGTTTACTGAACAGTCAAGTCCCGGTGAAAATACTTAGGAAAGCCCAGGTGTGTTGTAGCCAGTCTCCAGCCGCTCTCCAAGGGACTTGAAAGTTGAAAGGAGGGTCAGAAGAGCTGTCAGAAGAACAGCTGAAGAACCCAGCGGCATTCATAGGATCACACTGACTTATGAAAA